ACATTTTTTCGATAGAATTTGATTAGAAAATATAGTTGTTTTCAAGACTTATATAACGATTACATATAGTTTTTCGCTTCCGAAACTGAAGTCTTTAGGCTTCAGTTTCGGCGCCTTTTCTGTTTTGCCTTTTCATCAGCGCAAAATTTCTGTCCTGCGAGCATCCTTTTGAGGTGAGGACAGGAAAAATCGCTGGGTTAAATAATAACAATGGTTATAACAGATATCACAGACACAAGCGACTTTTTAAAAGTTTAATTGTTAAATAATTATAATAAATAACAGTTTTAGTACATAAACAATATGAGAAAATTTTGGGTTACAAAAAAGGAAAGATACAGCCTAAAGGATTGACCATTTAATTGTTAGTCCGAAATCTCCTGTGGCTGATATCAAGAAAAGACGATTAAGAGTAAGATATCATCGTAGCCGATTGTAGCAAATTGTAGATACGTAATGATTGTACCTAGATTGTAGGTGTCGCCACATTAAATGGTATAAATAAAAAATAATATTTTGGTTATAACATAAGACTCCATTCAAAATCAAAATTTATTTAATAGTACTGGTGAACGAAAAATAACAACACTTAAGAACGTTACTACGAAAAAAATATGAATCTAAATTTACATATACTACCGTACATACGCAAGTAGAGCGGGCGAAAAGACCTGGCAATAAACTCTCTGCCACTCGTTTTAATCACCAAGTTTTAGTGTTCAATGAAATTGTAAGGAAATGCAACCATAACGCCATAACTTTACATCTTGAAACAAGACTCTATTAATCTAACGATCTAATATATAAAATTCTCGTGTCACAATGTTCGTTCCCATACTCCTCCGAAACGGCTCGACCTATTCTTATGAATTTTTAATACATATTCAGTAAGTTTGAGAATCGGCTACTATCTATCTTTCAAACCCCTAAGTGATAAGGGGTGTCCACCCGAAATTTTTATTTTTTATAATGTGGCATTAAAAAATATATACAAAACTAAATGTTCACCCCTCTACGATCAATCCCTATTTTTATTACAATAGTAGATAGTTATTTTTAGTGAACTAAAAAAATGTTTCCTAGAAATAATATACATGACAAAACAACGTTTGCCGGGTCAGCTAGTATATCTATAAACATATGGATGACTCGATATTTAACTCAATGTTGCTAAATGGTAACTTGGCATAACAAGTAATCAACTACTACAACTATCAGCACTAAATTAAGCTCTGAGTACGCGAAATTACCGCGTTGTATGCGCTGAGATGCAATATTGATCTTGAGAAGCTCGTTAAACTATGTGCTTAATGCCTTGATTGTTTTCCTTAATATATTGTACAATGTACAAATTATATAGAACTTAGGATCTATTGGGGTTTACTTTAATTGTACTTAAATAATAAGTTGACTTACATAATTAGAGTAACTAATCTCCTTAAACGTATCACCACATACATTTTGCGAATCATTCACCTCTGCACTCACCACTGTACTTTCTTCATTCAAGCATCATTAGTCATTTTATAAAGAATTTAAATATCAAATAACGATTTCAACAACAATTTTGCGAATATTATCCCAAGTTTAATGCCCTCATCCTGGAATGGAATTAAGCATTAAACGTAAAATAATAGTTACAATTAAATTAAATATAAAACAAATCATAAGTCTGAAACAACTTGAGGTTACGAGTATACGTCGTACTAGTAAAGGTACTTTCACTTATTTAGTCTAGAGAGTAAACATGTCGCGTGTAATCCCATTACAGATATGTGTGTATAGGACGACTTGTATTATTCAACGTCGCTGTCTTTGTGTAAAGAATATCTCAGTAGAAGATATGTGACGCTGTCAGTCCGAGCCCTTAATTAAATAAATTTATTTTTGTAAATAAAGACTTCCTTATTGATCTCTTTATTTGAAGACCTTACATAGTCTAATAACAACTGATGATTTTCATACGAAGTATACTACGAAGTGTTTATCGATGGGCGTTGTTCTAGGAGCGGATCTATTGTTTTTATAAAAGCTGCAAATATAGAAAACTAAGAAAAATAAATAGATCATAATTTCTAAATATAAAACGAATTTTAGTTATAAATATTGAATTAAAAATTAATAGAAATAATATCAATATCTTAATTTTATTTATAAAAACAGTTCTCAGCTAAACTAATGTGATGTTATTCAATTATCTTTTGGCTCCATAATACTCGCCATGATTGAACAAACACGAAACAAAGCAAAAGTTAGAGGTGACTTTGTGTTTTTTTGTGTCGAGGAATATCAAATGACGATGCGCAGGTGCACATGTGTGGCAGCGTGGGTTTTTTTAAAGGAATTTCGTTGTTAGCCTGACGGGCCTTGTCGGCTCAGCTGGGCCTGTTTTTAAAGTATTAATAGTTAATTGATTAAACATAAATAATAGTAAAAAGATAAATGTTATGATCGAGTCAATTGACAGTTGATTTTTATTGGTTAATCATTAAAATTTATTCTATCACTTAAGAATCATATTTTAATTTGATTTGTTTTATTATTATTTAATTATTCCACAGGTTGGAATCTATAATTTAATTACTAAATGAATAAAAGCACGACGCCCAATCAGAGCTGAACATATTCATCGAGCAGGGTCGAGGCGCCATCTTGACTTTGGACGATGCGTTCAGGGAACGCAGTATAGTACTGTTTGAGTGTTCAGTGAAGCATTGTGGTGTAGAGAGGTTGGAACGAGTGAGGTCTAGTAGATGGTGATTAAAAGTGAGATCGGGGCCCTGTTCCCGCTGCTCGATATAATTTATATGTGGAAAATTATGATGAAATATTAGAGTATGAAAATTACACAATAAATATAAGTACGTACAAGAAAGTTTAGTAAGTTTTAGAAATGCTTACTTTTTCCCACATAAACCACTTTAACCACTTGAAACGACATATAGCATATTTGACACATGGCTTTACGGTAAATATTTGATTTGATTGACATACATACATTTTCTTTTACTTTTCGTATCTACACTTTTTCAAACATAGCAACTCGTTTTCCGCAGAACATTTATGAGCTATAACAACCGTAACCTGTATTTCATGCGATTTCTATTCTATGGAAACGAAATAGGTCAATAATCGCCGGAGGACAAAAATCGGAGCCCAACGCGCCGTAAGTACGGCTTACAACGTTTCGTTGACGGTTTGGTCCCAAGCAAAATGTGTCCTTGTTTGGTGAAACTTCTCTATGCGTTATTATTATTACCCTAATGTAATTGTATTCTGTTTTTTTATGATTCGGTATTAACAAACACTTAATAAATTAAGGCACCCAATAATGAGACTAACTAATTTTTTTAGTCTAAGTCAAGTTTTCTTCGCAATCCCAATAGAAGAATATGAATTATAATAGATTCTAATACTTCCACATTATGAAAGTTAATTTGGACCAGTGCGTGTTCGTAAGTAGCAATTAAAATTATCTTATCACCCTTTTTGTGTAACAGGACAATAGCTGTTACACAAAAAGATACTAAATGGACCTAGTCAATACGATGAACCTACCATTAAATTGGTATTTGTGAAGAAATCTAGTGTTTTTTAAGTTTGATCACAATACCTTTTTTGCGTTACAATGCCTTTTATGACCATTATACTCACTAGAGTGCGTCATATGTCAGGTCATACTAATACAATGATCATTTCCTGTTTCTTTGAGAATTGTTTGATCTGTTTCCATGTTTAAAAAAAGAATTGTGTCAGTTCTACTACTAATAGTGTTACTCGTAAATTTTTCGTTATTTAACGTTTCTCCTAACAGAATCCTTACAAACTTTAAATAAGTGGTCTAAAAAGCGGAAGATATAAATGATAAGTTATTACAAAATTAAGAGCTTTCTGTGGGAAGTTATGCTTTTCTTGCAAAGGTTTGCGATTATCGATTATCTTTAGTAAGTCTACTAATTCTTGTGTTTATTACGCCGAAGGCTCGAAGTAATCGTATACCTATTGTTAAAATTTAAATATATTTCGTTTTTATTCCTTCTATTTGGAGATATGCACGTCCACTTACTTCTCATTTCCTTTTAGAAGCTGTTCATATTTTTTTATTATTTACAAAGAGTGATCTAATTGTCATTTCTGTCTCCAGTACCGTAGTTTCCGAGGATAAATTCGTCATTATTTCATCCTTTTTCTACTTTTGCGTTGAAGCCTTCTATCAATACTGTATTACTGTTAATTTTAATTGTTTCTGTCAAATCGTTGAAGGATTTTGTTTCCGAATTTTGTCCTTACGGTGTTTGGCTCGGGATATTTATTGATACATGTCTATATCCAGTCCACTAATTCTTGAGCGTTGCAATTATGTCAGTTATCCCTTAAAAGTTTTTGCCTTTTAGATGTTATTTACGAGTATTTCATTTCCATATGACCCTTGTTTTTTCGTAGAATCAGAAAGCGTAATTATCATATTCTCTTATTTCTTCTTTCCCTTTCGTGATACTTGACATAGTATATACTTCCAATATTGTACCACTGGATAAATCTTATAGGTCTTTCCAGTTCTTCTAGTCTAAGTCTAATCTGTAGTAAGTGTTCGTTAAATTTCGAAGGTACATAATATTCTTCTTTTTTTGTTTAGGAGTGTATTTTTAGACTTATTTCTATAGAAGCAATGTGCGTGTATATTTATTAATCATGTAGATAAATAGTAGATGAAACAAGTCGCGGGTAATTCTATTACAGATCTATGTTGGTTGGACTACATACATTATTCAATATCGCTGTCCTTGTCTAAAGAAATTGATTAATATCGTTTGTAATGGAAGAGTTACTATATTTTTTCAAGTTTTATTTAAGTAAATACATTTTTATAAATACAATGAATATTTTAGTTGCTTATTCATTTAAAAATTTAGGTAGGTAGGTGGTAGAATAAGAAATGATTTATATCTAGATTATATTTAAAAAATATAACATGAACATCATTCAATAGCTTGGAGTGCTTATAGGCGACTGCTGATCCAGGAGCGGAAAGAGGTGACTCGGGCAAAACCTGCTGGGAATCCACGTGTACATCCGGCAGCATGTCCAAAGGATGTAATACCGATCTAAACAATTTAAAAAAATCGATATTATATAGATAATATTGACGTATAATTGTTTAATAATGAATATTAAATTGATAATTATGGATATAGTATCAAAACCTCAATTTTATTGTTGCAATATCATAATATTAACGTTGTAACATAATACCTAACTTTAAAATAATTAAGTTTTTAATGTAATTCGGTTAAATAGCTGTGCAATAAACTAATGTTATTATGTAATACGATAAACAACTTTAGTACGAAAAAATATATGATTTATCTTACCAATGCCCTAGAATTTCCACTTCCAATATCAAGAGGGCCACCAGAATCACCACCACAGGTACTGGCTCGGCCACCTTGTGTTTCTACACAAATCACAGAGGAGGCGATAAAGGAAAAGGTTCTGCGGCATTCGGCGTTTGATATAACTCTGAGGCTTACATGTCTTCTGGCAGTGTTATTTGGTATACCACCTTGAGCTGAAATTTCAAGATGTATATCATACAAAGTTTATAAAACGTTGAATAATATAAAAAATATACGGTATAAAAATGACTGATTGTTTTTCTAATATATAATAGATCAGTAACAAATACTTACAATCAGAAGTAGCGCCGTAACCTGCAGCGACCGCCCACGTACCAACGTATTCGTTACTGCCGGATGCCAAAGCGATGGGCTGGATATGATCTTTAAAAAAGTGTTAAATTAGAAGTGTTGGCTATGAAACGATCAGCGAGCAAACTTTTTGTTATTATTATATTATATACTAGCTGACCCGACAAACTTTGTTTTACCATTATATTATTTCCAGGAAACATTTTTTAGTTCAATAAAAATAACTATCTACTATACTAAAAAATAGGGTGCGTGTACTTATGTACGCGCGTAAGAAGTTATACTTCTTTGGCATTATTAAAAATAGTTTGGCTTTGTTCCACCTCCAGTTTTTGATGTTTCACAGCGATAAGATGACAACTCTTTTTTTGTATTCAATTTAGTGCACTTACACTGATTCATCAATTGTTTTTTGTCTCTTGTCCTTATATTTGCTAGAGAAAAATTACATGTTTTGATTAAACAATGTGGTAATTTTTTTAATCAAAACATTACTCGATAATAATAATACAAACTGATAGTTAACCTCAATTGTAATGAAGCACTTAGGAAGGTTGATGAGCACAGTTTTTTCACAAATATTAATTAGTATTGGTTTAAATATTCAATTTAAATCACTTCTGATTATATATAATTCAAAAAAGCATTGCTAAATTTCTTTGAAAAAATAATTAAAACTCCTTTATTTGTTTAAAAGGTAAATACAAATTCATTATGGTCATTCAAAATTCTTGGCATACGAACTTCACGCATATTCTATTTCTTTTTACTTGTAGATTGTCTTATTCTATCTCGCTCGCGCACGTATAATCACACTCCTAATTTTGTGTCAAGGTGCGGCGCATCGTAAAAATTCACTCTCATAAATTTTTCATAACGCGCCTAAAGTATACTAAAAAATAGGGGTTGATCGTAGAGGGGTGAAGATTAAGGGTTGTATGTATTTTTGTATGCTGTATGTCATAAAGAAATAAAAACAAAAATTTGCATCTAAAATATAACAATAAATAATTAGGGGTGGGACCACCCTTAACATTTAAGGGTTTAAAAGTTAGATAGTAGCCGATTCTCAGACTTACTTTATATGCATAAAGCATATCATAAGAAACGGTCGAGCCGGTTCGGAGGAGTATGGGAACGAACATTATATATTATATATTAGATAATATATAAAAATTAAGAATTAAGCTGTCGGTACAATGTTTATGTCGGTCCTGATATTAGTTAGCAATGTTGGCTCAAATAGTTACTGTCGATAGGTTAAAAGACTTGCAATGCTAAGGGTCTGTTTCATAATGTACGGATAAGTTCTACATAAGTTCCAAATTAGCTATTTATTACTTATTGGTAGGATAAACACTATTGTTGCGTTTCACGACTGTCAGATAGCGCTATTCGTCACATAAAGTCCATCATAAGTTATGAGTCCGATGAAGTGTCAAATAGCTCAATTTATCTTCCAAATATTTTTTGTGTTACATAGCTATTTGGTACTTTATCCATACATTGTGAAACAGACCCGAAGTATAGTAAACATTATATTAGTTGTTATAAAGAATATATTATTATTAACTTACTATTGAAGTTGACGTAGTTCATTGTGATAACGGCAACGTCGTTACTAGCAGTGTTCGGGTTCCATTGTGGATGCATAACAACATTACTGGTGGTGATTCGAACACCACCTTGGAATAATCTGAGGGATCCCAGTACTACTGTGAATTGACGGGCTTGGTGTCTGCCATCCGTCCAACAGTGAGCTGCGGTGACGGCTTTGGTGTTTGAAAGCAGTGAGGATCCACATACAGAGGACCAGCCATTGGTCAGAAGAATCGAAAGACCACCCTTAAAAAATATTCAAACATTTTTATTTACTTATTTATTAACACTTTGATAGCATTGACAGATTTCGAGCGATCTCTTCTAGGCAACCACAGTGTTTCATGTTTATCTACTTGTATCATGTCCTTAGATAAGATTTCAATGAGAACTTACCAAATGTGGTGTTTGTGTCAAGGATGAAAGGGATCCACCAATAATTCTAGATCCATCGAAGTCAATTGCTTCTTCAAGTTGTTTAATTCTAATAGCTTCTTTGATACCAATGTTTTCATGGTAATTATACGCAGTATGTTCAGCTGCTGGGCTACCACAGGCCGCAGCCGCAAGAAAAGCAAGAACGATAAATGACTTCATGTTGACTTATAGTGTAGAATAATTGGAAATGCAGTATTATATACTTCTTTTTTAATCTTGTTTTCTGAAATAGAATATAGATTAGATATACTAATGAGACACATTATGTAAAAATTGATAAATTAAAAACTTCTTATCTTAATTACAAAAAAATCATATTGATAATTGAAAGTATTATTATATTATTTAATTTATTTATTAGTTATCTTCAACAAAACACTTAGACAATATAATAATAATAAGCCTCTATTCATCCACATCTTATTGACATACATTTTAGAAAAAAATAAATAGAATTTTACTAGTCTAAGATGCGGCCCTTGTCCAGGAGAAGGCCTTCTCCAACTTTTTCCGCTCTATTTATTTTTTTCATGCTATCATCATCCAATTTTACTATTACACTAAGCTACTCATTCGATCCCGTCAGCCCATCGCTGTATTGTTCTGCCCTTGTTCCTTTTTCCTTTTGGACCAGTCCATTCGGTTACTGTTTTAGACCATCTGTCATCTGTATAACGGGCTAGAACGTAACACCACTAAATGTATATTGTATATGTATGAATTTGAATGGCAATTTAGTAAAAAAAAATATTTTTTATTACTATTTTTAAAATAGATATAATTTACATCTTGATTTCAAAAGATGCAAATAATACAGAAGATTTTTATTAAATTAGCTTGAAATGTTTATTGTCTCTCATATTAGTTTGTTCATATTTTTTCTGTAAATCCTACTATCACAATAATCTTTCTTGAGTCTAATTAATTTTACAATTATCTATCAAACATGATAAAGTACGTAGGAAACGAATTTAAAAACCCAATTAATTATGCTGTCTTCTTATAGGGTACATAAAACTTCAAAATATTAAATTTCGAAGTACAAGTAGCCGAATAATTTTTAGAGATAGATTTGTCTCAATAAAATTGTTTATTTAACCGTCACCGGTCTACGGTGTACAATAATATTCATGAACAATAAATAAATATTTTAGTATTCAAGCTAATTTTAATATTTAAGAACCCAGAACAGAATCCAGTTTGACAGTGAGTACCTACTTAATGTAAATATGCAACTAACTATAGAAATTGGTTTTATTCATTTTTGTGAATATTGACTGCGTAACGGCGTTGAGTAAATTATATTTTTTGACGTGACAACGTCTTATCATTCGAAGGACCCGGCTACACGCACGACAAAACATGACGCATGCGGCGTTACCTCGCTCTGAGGCGTTCCATTTAAGGCTTGAAGTGGACACGAGAGCGCGGAACGAGTGACAAAGAGGCACAATCGGACTCCGCGTTCGGCAGCGTTCGTTCGTTAAAAAATTTACATAATTGTATTTATGCGTACAAATAAATGTAACTTGATCAATTCAAGTGCGATTTTCATTTACCTCCTTCTCTATATCCATACAAAATATCTATCAAATAAATAAAATTAAAATTTTCTTTTGAAAAATGCAACCATTCCATCGGTATTTTCTTATGACGTTGTCACGTTCAACTATCAGTTGTCAGTCAGTGTACTGACTATCGTCACTACAGTGACTTTACAGACAGCGGATTTTTTAATTTTATATACGTCATGAGACAATTAAGCATCAAAGTTCATGTTGCGTTTACTATCTATATTTTGGCGTGATTAAGACCACGTTCCGATGAGATGAAATGACGAATCGTCTTGCAGATGTTAGTTTCATCAAAAGCTGACTTTCCATGTGACTCCTGCGACTCCTACGACCAGCATATTTCACATCGTATTTTTTAACGAAACTGTATTTTTAGTTAGCCAGTGCCCTGCGTTTTATCCAGCATAACCCGCGTTTTAATATACTAAGAATAGTTTTGGTTCCGAGAGCTTAACTCAGATCGAAAAACGACCCTTTTAAAGTAGGATAAAAATAATTAATTAAGTCCTGAGAAATAAAAGTATTACATAATTTAAAGTTTTTGTAAAAGTTTAGTTAGAAATTGTATTAAAATGGAATTGATCTGGTAGTATTTACACTGACAAAAAAAATCCACCAAACTTCAGCAGATCACGGTTTTAGCTTTATATTATGTTATATATGTGTATACAATAAACATATAATTGCTTACCTAGAAAATAATATTTAATGTAAAATGAATAAATATATAGCAGAGTAAAGTGCTGGAAGATGGCTAAAAGGAAAAAGGGAGAAGTAGAGAACGCTACCTAATCTTTCTAATCTTAGAGGCAAAAATTTGACAAGGCATTTCTACCAGAATGTCGATACATGAAAAGGTTGCCTAGAACGAATGTCTGTCGTAACAATATAGGAACCCTGTTAACAGAAAACGAAGACATCACAAAACAGTTGCAAGAACACTTTAAAGATCTCCTAAATATTAGGCAGACGACCTACCACACACACCTTGGTTAAGCAGCTATATGTAAGCTTAAGAATAATAAGGCCCTTGGAATACACACAATAACAATCGAACTTCTTAAAAATGGTATGCCCGTTCTTGACGAGAGAATACATCCTATTGTTACGGCTATCTGAAATATTGAAAAAATACCTGAAGAATGGAACCTGGCTAACATCGTAACTATAAATTGTAAAGAATTTATTGTGTTCAATTCGAAGTGAGGTTTTAAAGTTATTTATATATTTTTCGACGAGAAATTTTCTGCTTCTACATAATATCACAGTACATACACATATACAGTTATTCAGTATAGCCAGATACAATTTAAGGTGTTTATACTTTATTTGGCAGCAAATTGTCAAGGATTTTAATAAAATTATAAGGTAGAACTTAAAATTTAATAAGAGCGGTAATATATTCGTGGATTTGATTCCTAACAGCAATTACCGACCGAAATTATTATAATGCTTATTGTTTACCCTTTTGTATTATTATTTGTTTTGTGTCAGTGTTATAATTCATTTTCTTACTTGAGACAAATTTCTAGTGATCTTTTTGTGTGAATATCTATTAATGACACAATTTTTACTACACCATAGCTAATCTATATTTTCATAATAAAGTACACTTATAATGCCCATTAGTGCTCTCCATCAGGTATTTCTGCATTCTTTTCTAAGCAATTTTATGAGTCAAAAAAATATATTATCGTCGCTTTAGAATTAAAGCTTCGTATATCCAGAGAACCCAAACGAAAAAAATGTTTCATTTCGTCAATGTTCCTTAAAATATTATTATGTGATTTTGTTCATAGTTTTAGATGGTAAAAAAGACTTATTTATTAATAACATAAATTAGTCCTTACTTCATGATTATACCAGTTAAATGTCATAAGAGTCTAAGAATATAAAATAAATGGTTTTTTGACATACTAGGTGACACTACAGTGACCGTTTAGTTCGTTATTACGTTCTAGTAACCGACCCATGAGTCGGTAATAGACACATTGAGAAACTATCTCTGCATGTAACCCTGGTCATTAAGCTTTTAAACTTTGCTCCCCAATACCTACGGATTGACACATTTTTAAAGTTTTGTAAATATAGTAATTAACTTTTACAAAGTACGATATTGAAAACCAATAAACGATATGTGTATTCTGAAAAAAAGGGTGATCATTAGCAGCAACAATGGATTGTAAAACTGAATTTTCTTAACTGAGAGAGAGGCTGGGTACCTTCGTTATCTCACTTGAAATTGGTTTGTACGTTTTTCGAGTACACATTTTTAAGGCATATCGTAAGTTGGAGATTAAACTGTGAACAATATCTAAATAGTTAGGAAATGTCGATACAAGCGAGTTCACTAACTTAAAGATAATAGAAGACAATGTAATCCGGAAAATCCCACTATCACAATAATCTTTCTTGTAACGAAATAATTAAACAACTATCAAACATGATAAAGTACTTAGGAAACGAATTAAAAAAACCCAAATGATTATTCTATCTCTATATGGGTATTTAAAACAATTTCCAATTTCAAGATCCGTGAGCAAACAAGTTGTAATAATTCGTAGATCGTGCGTTGTATTGTTTTTGGTATTAATAAAAATTATTTAACGTTATGAATTTGTTAGCAATTGTTTAAGATAGATTTGTCTCAATTTACTAATTTCCTTAGCTGCCGCTTGAATAAATTGCTTATTTTATTATTTAATAATCTGTTTTGTTTAACGTCCATTGTTCCTGGTACCAGAGTTCACGCGAGCATCTAACGTATTTTCAGCTCAGAATGATATTAAGTATTAATGAAAAAAAATTCAGCCGGCGTACTTTATTTTTTTTCTTTTACCACTTCAGCAACCTACCAAGCCCACACCCAACGCGTGTGCTGACGCTTAGTTCACTTGTCAGTCATCCGAGATCTATTGTAAAGGATGGCAATATCAATAGGCGTATAAGCTATGATGAAACGCTACGGTCTATTATAATCGCGACGACTATAAGAATTGTTACTATATTCACATATTGCGCTCACTAGCTCAACACCATATCACTGAACCAATCACAATTTAAATACTAACAAGAACTACACAAAAGCAAAACAACCAATTTGTGGTACTTTGGCACTTTTTTGGCGCTGTCAAAGAAGTTAAAAGTAAGTAAACTAAAACGTTATGGTTTCACTTTGAACATACATAAAAACAATACTTTTTTTACGCGAAAACGAACAAAAGAATAATAATTTACTCGTGGTTGTTTACAACGCGAAGAAATAGAAAAGAAAAAAATCCTGCAGGAGAATGACAAACGATCAAAGTCGCGTGTTTTTAAGCGAATCTCACTTTTCATGTTGACAATCAGAAGGATATTTAATTTAAAAAACTAATCAATAGAAGATGATCTATCACAGTTCCTCTGTCATATTTTAATTATAAATCGAGAAACCAAATATGGTGCTGTTCTTTCGCAGTATAGATTGTCGGCTCGCAGTTTGCATAACTGATTATGCGAGACTTAAGTATGTCCTGTACATTTCAATAATGCATCGGGATCAATGGGGTTTGAATATTTTTGCTTAGATAAATTTTGTTTTATTTATCTTAAAAGCTATAGCAACTCCAGTGGAAGCATTTTACAATGTTTAAATAAACCTAAATCGTTGTTAATTTTAAAATTAATGTTAAGTTAATTACTTTCCTGATTTTGCCTGAATCTTGTGAATACATTCAAATACGATTTATACGTAGGTTTGTAACTGCCAAGACCATACTCTATAAAAGAGTCAGCTAGTGAGATTTATAGTATTTATATACTCGTATATTATTTATTGCAATATTGTTGACACAAGACCAAACGATGACAGGACGCAGCGCTGAGCCTTGCGCGATTCCTTTCGCGTCGTAAATACGGGATAATTTCGTCGTAGATCACTAACTGCATTTCCAACTTAAAGTCAAAGTTAAAATAACTTTATCCATAAAATAATAAAAAATAAAATAAGGTCATAAAATAAGTTAAATTAATTCTAAATTTACATTTACTACCAGTTCGCAAGTCAAGGGTGTGGAGCGGGAAAGATGAACTGGCAAGAAACTTTCCGCCACTCTTTTGAATCGCTTAGTTTTGAGTCATACAAATTGTTCGAACAAATCAATCCCAAGGGTTAGGATCATTTAAATATTCGTCAAATTTTTGGCTTTATTGATTAATTTACGTTTGATGATTAAACGATGTCTTTCCTATTTGTTACGTAATTTTTGCACCAAGCCGGAGCTAGGACTAGCCGGACGCTAAGCAACAAACAACGGTTCGGTGGCCGTTGTTACACTATTTTAAGTTAAAATAATTAGCCCTGAGTACATACCTCAATAGAACAGCAGCTGATAACTCTAGTTTAGAAATTGTTAAGCGTATCCTAACTGGTGCAACCTTACTTTTTGCCATAACAAGTTGAACTATTACAGTTCTAGATTTATTGACAGAAAGAATATAAACTACAGCGTAACATCATTCCGATGCATCACAAAAACGATGAATATCTACTATGCATTTACATGGTGGCAATAAAGACCTATTAATTTTAATCCATTGAATTTCAGGAAGGGACGAAACAAACCTTGTTGTTCAGAAGTGACAAGAGTGGCCATCTCGGATGGTAGTGATCATAACCTGATCCTGCATGGTGCCTAGAAGTATTACCAGAAATACAAGGTCTAACTTGCATCCCACCAGTCTACTGATTACCACTATTTAAAATTAGCTTCAACAACTTCCTGTGCCGGTGAAGCTGATTGAGGTGAACCATTCATATACCGCAAAGATTAATGTGATGATTGCCATTACATAATTTGCATGGTGGTGACACTTGGCATTGTGCTGCCTGGTGTATATTTAAACAACCATAACAACACTTCCGCTGTCTAACAATATTACGTCGTGCTTGAAAACAATACTAAAAACTTTTAACAAGATCGGTGTGATCAGATTTTGACGACTCATTGGTCTAGTGGTTAGTACCCCTGACTGCGAATCCATGGGTCCCGGGTTCGATCCCCGGCTGAGACGTACATCGATGTTATGAGCATTTGGTGTTGTGCTTAGGTCTTGGGTGTTTAAATATGTATTTATATGTCTATCTATCTATAATATGTATGTATATCCGTTGCCTAGTACCCATAACACAAGCTTCACCAGCTTAGCATGAGACTAGGTCAATTGGTGTGAATTGTCTTTAAAAAAAAAAAAAAAAGATTAACACAAAACACTCCCGGCTGTTGAGTAGCCACGTTATAAACTCGCTGGTCAGGGCGTTGTACGCAATGCGCATATACGGTTGCCGCGGCCGCCTAGAAATTGTTGACGTATCTGGAACATTATCATGCCTGCGGCACCCATTCTATAATAATAAAATGAATTCATCAAACGTGGATGAATATTCACCATACTCCTGATCAAAACAATAAACTAAACGAACAATTACAGGCCAATTTAAACCCTTTAAGGCATTAATTACCACTGATAAAGGATTTAAAACTTGAATTCTTAAGTTCAAGCTCTGCACATTAAGGCCCTGTAATTTTAGTATAACATCTACGTGGCTATCCGCCAGTTTACGTATGTTTTGATAACGCAACATAAGTAAATCTCTTCTATATCATAATTGTTATCCACGTGCTAAATGTTGGCGTAACCCTTTAGCCTCCCTGGTGAGAGTAGCCAATAAATATGTAAACTTTTTAACTCATGTTAAATCGCACTAAACTATCAAATAAATAAATAAACGCCTACCAATCATATACCCATCTGCTAAAGTCGCTACCAAAATGGGGCAAATATAGTTGGTGTAACCTACCTTTAATACCACTTGAAAAAGTTAAACTATCCTTCGAAAAGGTTTTTCACTAATTTTATCAGCCAAATTCTCACCCTGATGCAAGTATGTACAATCCCTGTCCATCACCTCAGGTTCCAAACTCAACTCAACTAATCCTCGATACGATTTATATAAATCTCTTCCCTATCCTATAACGCGTCATTTCTTGACAAAACAGCCTGAACGTGATGTTGTCTCGAAATAATTAAAACTATTTGAGCAAAACCGCCATCATAAAAGTATATATAATACAAATAATATCACAATACAACTCAAAATCAAACGGCGATTATAAGTAATACAAAAATCGAAATAATTCAGTAAAATGCCTGCAAAGAATAAATTTATACATTACAAAAGTACCAGGACCCAGGACTTATTATTTTTATCACCGAAATAATCAATTACTAATCAATTAAAACACGCTCAGCTACCGAAAAATTATGAACCACAACGAACAATTCGGTGTATCAACACACCTTAATTTTAAATAATAAACCCTAAGTACATTCCTCGTTTCGATATATTCTTATCATGAAAGGCACACAATTGTCAGTCGTAAGGATAAGGAGAAAGTCAGTATGGGAACCATAGGATAGGTTTGACTGTTAATATAATTACTAATACTTTGCCCTTAAAATAGTCAACAAGATCGTAATTAATAAATAAAATTGGCAAAAACGTAATCTAATTTGAGTAATCCATAACCCAAGAGAAACAACAGCGTATGAATTAAATGTGACTATCGGCCGAAGTAAATTTAAAAAATAAAAAAAATATATATTTCGAATAAGGAGTATGGACTCCCACACAAAACTGCGATGCGCTGCGATGCGATTTAGTGCGACAAACCGTTTGGTATGGCGACCATTCCTTCGTAGTCAGCCGTACTGGACGTGTTTTTAGGACGCGTAAGATGGATCGCAAAAAGATAATTGCACTGCTGTTATTGTTAAATAGATATAAAAGAAAAAAAATATTCTGGGTTCATCCATTTATTACGATTATGAACTCTAATGGAAACTTTCACAGACGCTCTTCCACGCATCTTACTTAATAAATTTATTTTTATAATGTTCATCACTTGTGTCCCAAAGGACGGGACGCTCCTCAATTAAGAATATTAAAAAATCCATATCATTTTCCGCAATTTTTTATAAACAAAGAAGGCGGCGGAGGCGCCGCGCGTCTTTCTCTAAAGCTGTCTCAGAGCGGACTAAAATGGCGTCACCAAGGATGACGTAATATCGCAAGAATGTGCAATGCGTAGCAGATCGGAACTTCTTGCGGTGGGTTCGTGCGAATTCGCAGATATTTGCGATGCGATGCGAATTCGCAGTTTTGTGTGGGAGCCCTAATACCCTAACTCCACAATTATCTAATTAGTTAGTATTTCGAGGTGAGTGAGAGTGTCGAAAGCCCGTGAGAAATCAATAAACTCGAGTAGTTTTTACAGTGAAACTTACGATTTTATTTAATTTTGTTAAGTTATATAATGAAATAATAACAAAAGGTTTTATGATTTCATTTTACAGTCGGCTTGATATCCACGATTGGTATGAAGTTACTCTTGAAAATGCAGCAGGGTATCCACTTTCACAGCCGGCTGCATGACCGAAAGATGTAATACCAATCTGAAAAATTGTGTTAAAATGAATTTAAACAAAAATAATAATGGTAACTCCTAAAATATTTAACAAACCAAACAGTATAAATTTATACATGTGTAGATAAATAGGTGTATTTTAAAAATATTTTAGCGTTTTAGATGAGAACTAAATAATACAAAAAAAATCTATTTTTATCCGATGTCGGATAAAAACATCGGCTTGCTCTTACCAAACAAACTCAAACTTCAAACTCTTTGAAACTTAAAATACATTAATAAAATAAGTAATGCCGTCTCACCAATCTACCGCCCACAGTAAGAGGACCACCAGAGTCTCCGGCGCAGGTACTGACTCTTCCTCCTTCGGTATCAACACAGAGAAGAGTGTCTTCGACGTATCCGTATGTTTCCTCACATTCAGCGTTGGTAATCACTCTGAGATTAACTCTTTTCTGAACAGAATTGTTGGGAATGCCATTTTGAGCTAGAATGACAGTTTTATGGTTTCATATGTTTTTCCGAGGAATAACTTAATTTAGAAAATAGCATTATAAAATGTGGCGACAAGCATAAAAGATAATTAAAAAATTTACGATAATTCTCATTTTTTTTAAATATGTTTTATAAAATACAGCAACTAGGGGCGATCGATATTTATTAAGGCTTTAATTACTGATTTCAGTTGCGCTGCAACCCTTTATTTCTTTATATGACATAAATGCGTCTATTCCTTTAACCGTTTGCTCTTATATTAAGATATATGTGAGGTTATTACTATAATATTTATACGACATTATAAGTTATTTAAGAAATAAAATATATTTACTAACAGTCAGAGGTGAAGCCATAGCCGACAGCGACTGCAACGGTCCCAACGAAGTTATTGTTGCCAGTAGCCATTGAGATGGGGCGAATATTGTCTGAAATTATCATGTTCTTTAAAAATAAAATTTGTTATGTAAAACACGGAAATAACCATATTAAAACCATATATTATACGGTCAATATTCCAGTCTGCATAATCTTTTAAGCAACCTTTTAACAAAATGTTTGTTAATTTTTTACTTTAAAAATAAAACATGGCCGAAATTCTTGACTGTTCTTAATAGTGGATACATAACGCCATGTAATGTGACGTTTAAATTTAGAAATTTTAACATTGACTTTTACACCAAAGACTAAAGATATTATAAAACTAACTTACTATTGTAATTAACGTGGTTAATTGTAATGACGGCAACATCGTTGGTCACTGTACGAGGGTTCCACTGCGGATGCAGAACAACGTTAGCAGTGGTAATTCGAACACCACCAGAGAATAAACGCACAGATCCTAAAACAACGGTGAAACGACTGGCTTGATTGTATCCATCCCACCAGCAGTGAGCTGCAGTGACAGCCTTAGTGTTCGTTAAGAGAGATGATCCGCATACTGATTCCCATCCACTGGTTAAGGTGATGATTAGTCCACCCTAAAATACAGATGATAATGAATCTTTATAATGACGTGAAAGAAATACTCGTATTTCTCGAAAAATAATTACCAAGTGCGGGTTTTCTCCTAATCTTGAATCACTGCCCCCAATAATCCTGGCACCATCGAAATCTAATGCTTCCTCAATATGTCTAATTCTTAGAGCTTCTTGGATACCAAAGTTGGCATGATAGTTATCGGCCGTGGTTCGAACTGCCGGTCGACCGTAGGCCAGAGCAATAAGACTAGCGAGAACTAACAATGATTTCATTTTAAGCGCAACTAACTGTGCCCGTGGTGTACGGTGTTTTATATTAGAATTATTATTATTTATATGATAAATAAATGTGTTAGGTATCTTAGATTAGAGATAATAATTGTTAATATCTAACGCTAAAAACTCACGAAGCGGTTTGCACCCGCGCCCGCCGCGGTGGCGGTTTGGAGTTTTATTTTCAAAACTCACGAGACCGGATTTTTGTGCGGTTACGCAGCCGCCGCGGTTGCGATTATCGCCCGCAAACTTGGCGGTTGATTATCGCAAGACGGGCGGTTTAACGATCAGTCAAGTTCCAGACCGCCATGGACACACACCAGAAACAACTTGTTGCGTTATACTTACTTCACATAAGAATTAAAAAAAGAAAGCCTAAAAGATTCTGGGTGCATCCACTGATTGCGGAACGAGATCATTATGGATTATTTGTTACTCTTATTAATGAGTTGAAGAAGGATGAAGAAAAGTGATTTCATTTTTGACATAAATATCTGTATTCTACAAAGGTTGCGGGTCCGCAACCGCCCACGCGGGTGCAAACCGCTTCGTGAGTTCTTAGCGTAAGTCTTTTGATAAAAATTTAGTAAATGGGTTGTTCGTGGAAAAATACGATTTATGATAAACATAAATCGATTTTTCCACGAAACGGTATTTTTAGTGAGCCTGTGTCCTGCGCATTTTTAATTTACTATCACCTCGTCGACGTCAACCAGCTTATCCAGGTTATCTGGTTAGAATTAGTAGTTGGTCTTTTCTATGCATGTCGTTCGTGCAAGAGAGTCTCGTAAAAATTTTGAGTTTATCCAAGAACTATAAACACATTCAAATGTGATCTCACATTTTAATAGGATTTCAATAACTATATGAATTTGCGGCTCTGACACAGATTAGCTTAAAAAGATTGACTAGGGCATTTTTCTGAAAAGTCAATTGTGTCTTATAATCGAGATGTCTTGAATACCACATTTGCATATTTAGTGTTGTTATTTACACAAAATAAAAATAACAATACTTAATACGAAAATGTTTTTTTTATACCTTACAAAAAAGTCGAAAGTTACCTGTTGAAATTTGATTGTACGCTTTTCGACAACAAATTACTAGCCGATAAAACGAAAGTTGAAAATTAAACGGTGAACAATACGTATCTCAATAGTTGTACGACATTTCGATACAAGCTAGTAAATATTTTTATACCTTAAAGATAACAGAAGCCAATGAGATCTGGGAAATCCCACTTCCACGCACATCCTTGAATTAATTAATTTAACATATTTTTTATCAAACATGATAAAGTACTTAGGAAACTTAAATGGAATTAAATAAACCTATTTGGGTTATTAAGCTATCTTCGTATGGATATGAAAAACAATTTCAAAATTGGAGTCGTGCGGAGTTTGCTGTGCGTTGTATTGTTTTAAATAAAATAGCAATTTACTAAGCCAGATTTGTTAAGAATTCATACAGAATGATAGGTCAAAATACATCGGTGTTTGTGTTTTTGTTTAAAATTGAAGTGAAGAAAGAAGTTTTTTTTCTGTCAGTGCTTCAGCAGTATTGTAACTTTTAAGTTGTAATCTAAGATGCAAAGCATAAAACCACTATTAATGTATATTTTATACTATGATTGGCATAACCTAATTTCCTACTACCCCTAGAGCTTTGTATTTCACCTCGCTCTAAGTCTTCGGCTGTCTTCGCCTCATATTCAACTGTACGACGCGGACGCATCGTTTCCTTGAGACGACCGCGCTTCTGGTTTGCTGTTTGCAGGTTCTAATCCAGCGCCTGCTTGATTGTATAGTTAGAATCATCAGATATGTACATAATTATCAGTAAATGGCCAATCCATTTCCACTTGCGTCACTTGGATAATCGGCTTTTTTTGGAAGCGCTTCCAAAGTTGCTCGTTGGAGATCTTCTCGGGCCAGTAGATAACAAGAATACGGCGAAGCGGTTGACGATTGACGAAGACGCATGATATCAGGCCTCTACACAAACTGCAACTGTACTTTACTTGAATCGGCTACAATAACCAAATACCTAATATAAATGATTGGTTAGTACCGTTCTGCTATCTTCCGCGCAATCACCTTTAAGTGGCGCTGGGAACCCCGTTACGCCCATGGGCTTGCGGGGTTGCGGGATACGCATCCCGCTCAACGGCGGGATGGTCGTTGGGGCGGGCCTGGAGCGGCCCTGAACCTCGTTTGCGCTGCGGAGCGTCTTCGCTCACGCAGCGCCTCTTGTCTCATGTCGGTGGGGCTGGTGGCGCCCCCGTGGCGGCAACGGGCGCGTTGGGCGCGGTCGTACCACCGGGTGAGACCCTCGGTTACCCGAGGGAAGCCCAGCGAGGCAGACCCAGCGGACGAAACCTCAGCGCGCTCCGCGACGCCGACGGGAGGGGTCCAGCCCTTTTGTCTTGGATGTTGATGTTATAACAATTGTAATTGTGTCACTGAGATTCATCTGACTCCGCGCGAACCAGCTCGCGGGGAAGGCTCGCCTGTGGTCTGGAGGTCGTGTATGATGCGGGCGAGGCGCTGGAGGTGCTCGAAGCCGGAGGCGTCCGCACGCTCAAACATGCGCCTCGCCAGCTCGCCGATAAAGTCGTCTAGACCTTGCTGTCTTAGGTCTCTCGAAATAGTCGCGTTTCTCACGTAACGCGGCGCGTCGACGATACGTCGCAGGGTGGTGCTCTGCACGGCGCGTAACCGACGCCGGTGCGTCTCGGCCGCGAGAGCATACCACGCGGGCGCCGCGTACGTGAGATGTGGTCTGATGTAGGTCTTGTATAGGGCCAGTTTACGTCGTAATGGGAGGCTCGACTGGAGCACCGGGCGCAGTCTGGCGGCGACCGCCTTCGCGCGGCCTACGGCTGCGGCGACGTGCGGGCGCATCGTGAGGCCTCGGTCCAGCGTGATGCCCAGTAGGTGACTTGGGGGCGCCACTGAACCTCGGCCCCTTGCAGGGGAGCGCGGCGGGAGCTTTCTCCCTGCCCGAAGATGATAGCTTGTGTTTTGGCGGCGTTCGCCGTGAGGCGCCTCTCTGCCAGCCAGACTGGAGGGCGTCCAGCGACCTCTGGAGCTTGACTGCTGCGTGGCGCGCATTGAGTGAGGAGGCGGTGTAGGCGGTGTCGTCCGCATAAGCGCCACCGGCACCCCGCAGCGACTGGAACGTCATTGGTATAGATTGAGTATAGGTCAGAGAGAGGCAGCTTCCTTGAGGGACCCCCGCGGCGATCGGCCGGCAGCCTCGACTTGACCCCTCGACGGAGACGTAGAAACGCCGGTCGGAGAGGAAGGAGCTGATGATCGCCACCACGCGCCGCGGGAAGTCAGAGCTGAGGAGCCTGTGCACCAGCCCCGCGTGCCAGACTCGGTCGAAAGCCTTCTCCATGTCGAGGAGCGCCGCCACCTCCTTCTTGTTTAAGGCGAAGACGACGTCGAGTACCCTCGACAGCTGTAGAGTCGTGGAAGCTCGCTCCGGAATCCGAACTGTTCGGGCCTGGAGTGAAGTGCCGCCTGATGGTCGGCAGAGCATGGCCTCGAACAGCTTGGATTGTGTTGTAGTAGGGAGATGGGGCGATAGCTCGCCGGGTCCATTGTTTTTGCCTTTCTTAGGCAACATAATGACTTTCGCCTCTTTCCATGGCTCGGGAAGTGCCCGGTCCGGAGGATCGCATTAAATAGACGCATGAGCGTCACCACCGCACGAGGGGCAGGTGACGCAGAGCTGCGTTTGCGATACCGTCGGGCCGGGAGCCTTCTTGGGCTTGAGCCGCGCTGTTGTCTCTTGACGGCGCTCGGCGAGACGAACAGCACCTCTTCGTCTGCCGGCGAGGGGCGCCTAGCTGCTCGACGACGGCGTTCTCGACCTCTAACGCGGAGGGTCCGCCGCGGGGTTAGGGGAGAACTGCCGCTGAAGGTGGTCTGCGAACAGCTCGGCGCGCGCCTCGGCGTCGTAGCGAGCGTTCCGTCCGGGTGTCTCAACGGGCGGATCGGGTCGGCTGCGCCATTGAGGCGCCTGAAGTCGGTGCAGCCGTACCCAATCAGTTGTGGCCTCGTCGAGACAGCGCTCCCACGACTCGTTGCTATGGTCCTCGAGCGCAGCCTTTACCCGCTCGGCGAGGGTGCGAGTTCTGCGCGCAGCGGACAGCGGGTCTGCTGCCAGCGTCTCCGCAGTGCGCGTTTGCGGCGAATGAGCGCCAGCAAAACGAGGCGGCAGCTGCGGGTATGTCGCCGCTTGAAGTGCACTCTGAAGCATCGAGGTGACTATGGTAGAAAAATTGTCGATTGATGTAGGGGTTTCGGGCGACGCGGCTGTGGTGCGTCGACGAGGGGATTGGTTAGTGGCTTTGTTGGGACCCTTAAATACACTACCTCTGTTTTCGAGTTCGCAAACTTACTTACGTATTGAAACGTCTTAGAAAACCTTCCGATCCAAATACAATAAAGATAGTGAATACTGCATTACACAAAGCAAACCTATATATAAGCTACCCAAAAACGCACTTTTTGCCCATCGCTTTTCCTCTTTTAGAGTCGGTAGGGAGCAAGAAAGAATTCTTGATCTATCTTGAACCATTTCTTTCTCAAACACAAAAATTTAACTTTAAATTCAAAACTTACATTTACTATAATCTTCAGCGAACATCTTATAAACCTGCCTTATGATGAAACCGAAAGTATTCTTCTTGTGCAACAGTAGTTCAATTATACAATTATCTTATGTAGAATTTATTAAATAAATTCCTAAAATTATTCATAATATGTCAAATGGCTGACTAGCTGCCTACGACACAGGGAATCCCAGCATGAGTGCACAAGTGGTAGTGCAATTCTCTTTTAACATTCCCTTTTATTCTGTGTAATTAAGTTCTTTTCTTTCCTTTATTTCATATTTTACTTTTTGCAAATAAGATGCTTATCACAAAACAATATCTTTATACTTTTATTTAGACAGACTCGACTTCATTATTAACATTGACTTATTGTAATAGATTTCTATTACAATATTTTTTCAACTAAATATTCTCAATAAATTGAAAATTGGGGACATCGTGAAGATTGCAACATCACCATACTTGGTCCTTGAATTCCATTGCGGGTGCATATTAACTAGTCCAGCCACAAGTTCTGCCACAAAAGAAACTGCATTTTTTTAATGAAGTAATGTAATATTATTAAAATTTATACCTAAATATTTACTAAAGTCTCAGCAAAAACTAAAAGAATATTCTATTGGAAATGGCCACTTTTGAACTCTATACCTTATCTATATATCTTGATACACTTTGGTTGAAGTTTTCACTCTATTTTCACAATTTCTAATTTTTTTTAATTTCTCTAAAATAAGTGAAAAAATTGCAAATTTTCATCATAGAGGTATGTTCTGCTGAGTTAAAGCGAAGAGTTCTGGCCTAAGGTTCAACTGTGTTGCCTAGACATCTAGAGATCTGATAGAAACCGCGGAGTGCCCATGTCTGTACAATATGTTTTTTTTTTTAATTTATTGTTTTCTCTTACTCTTCTTAATTTTTTTGATAATTAAACCTTTTTATTTTTGGATTTAATTGAAAGGAAACTATTACACTTGAAATTGTTGTTTTAATGAGACCTTATTTATCGAAATCAGTAAGAAATGCTCTGCTGTGATCGGGAAGCTGGCAGAGCATTTTACGATTTAAAAAAAACTGAACTTATAAGTCCAGAACTCTTTCTAAAAGCTATCAGGAACTATAGAACTATTGAGTGTGCTGCCATTTTTTTGTGCTCTGCTGGTAAGTACGCTAAATTCACAGACACCCTTTGTTGTCTGGAATATGATCAACGACTCCATACCCATTTTGTGCAACGCGATCACTGCAATCCTATATTCTTTAACCCTCAATTCCATATTGTAATTTGTTAATTAACACGAAAAAATACGTGAAAGATGTTTTTAAAATAATGTACGTGTTCCAAATTCAAAATAATTAAAATGTGGAAAAAAAAGTTTTAGAACCATTGCTATTCCTTATCCTACTCGTAAGCTGCAGATAACTATAGTGAGGTCTACGATAAAAAAATCAATGACCCTTGTAACAGATAAATGAGGCTAATTTTGCCTATAAAAAGGATCAATAAAATATACTTCTTCTTGATATAATGAATACCATATATTTAAAAACAAAAAAAAACTTAACTGATGAAGGTATAAAGTATTATACATTCAATTATTAATTAATTGGTAAATATTCAGTGTTTCCCACAATTGAAGGAGTGCCGTGCCACCTACGATGCGTGACCCATCGAAATCGAGAGCAGCTTCAAGCTAATTAATCTTTATAGATTCAGGAATTCCAATGTTTTCATGATAGTTGTATAACTTTGTAATTTCAATTTAACGGTTAGTATAAGCCAACCTTATAATAACTCCAAGAAAATCAATTTATTTAATTTTCCGCCGTTTAATTGGTTGATTACAACGAATTTTTAATTATATAACCACTCCTATGTCATGAGGAACAATCTACTAATAATATAATTGGTAGATTACCGAAAATAATCACCGATTTACGTAGATATGTTTAATTACGCTGTTTTATTTTTGTAGATAAATATAATTATGCTGTTTTTGTATATGGTTTTTATGGTAATTGGGAACATAATGAAATCAAAAGATAATGTTCATCCGAAATCCGCAACATCTGATAGTTTTAAAAAGATATTAATTATTAAAATATTTCTCTTAAATCTTGCAATTAAAAAAAATCTTCACATTAAAAAACTGAAAATCTTTTAATATTTATTTAAATGAACTCTACTCAATAATATACAAATGTTATTAATACTTACTATAATTGATAATTTGATTCATTCTGTTGTTTACTAATTTACTTCGAAGAGCAACTTAAACAAAACTACCTACACATAAATCTGTGTAGTGTACTTAAAATAAATCATGAAATAAATTGCGTGTTTAATTTCTTACCTTAATCTATCCTATATAAAGTGTTTTATAGTTCAAAATATCGGCTTTGATTTTATTCAAGATATTTTGCCAAAACACAAACTATCAGATAACCCATACATATTAATTACTATCTATTCTATATCTTCCATAATCGTATCATAATCATAAAAAATATGTTATAATCGTACTGCTTAAACTGATATTACATATAGATAAGCTGTCGAAGTGGTTCCGCTACCTGAATATAATGTAAAACATCTTGACATGGGCCTTATGATCGGTCTATTTAGTCGAGAATACTTCCATAAATAATATTTTGCTAAAAAAATAATCAACCTTAATTCATATTGTCATACAAAAGCAGCAGACAGTTTTTTTTATAGTTTAGAAATCAAAATGGTATGTTGTGTTATGTTACTCACTCACTTCGTCACCTTGCAATAATGTAATATATTCAGATGTAGAAATTTCTTATTAAAACGGTCTAGTCATTTCTGTGTTTTACAAACACAACAATTCAAATCTTTCCTCTTCATAATATGACTATGACTTTATTACTAGGTCATAAGGAGTATACGTAGTTCTGTATTTGTTTCAAATGTTTAACATTTACCCTCTTCTATCCCGTATATTTCCTGGACCCATCAAAAAACGACGGAGTAAGTAGTGACGGGAACGAGGAACAGGGGCTTCGTCTAAATATTTGTGCGGGTATTTAAGGAATTTGCGTGACGAATGGAGGGTAGAAATTCAGAGGTAGGAACTGACAAGGATCGATAGGAATATTGTCGTCTACCGAGAAGAAGAACGGTGGAGGTACAGATTGTTGACAAAAACTATAACCTGAACAATGAATCGAAAGCACGACCTGACTCGGACCTCGGACTGGGCCGCCGCGCCGCGCCACCGGGTGGTCGGGGCCGGGTGGTCAACCGCCTAAAGGGCAGGTCGAAAGCTCACTGTAGTGAGCAAAGCACGAAGTAAAGGTCTACGCCCTCACGTAAACAACCGCTTTCACCGGGTTGTTTACCCTAATCTGATTTTGACTATTCTTTACCGCGCAGGCAGCGTTTAATTTGCCGTTATTATTGTTATTGGATCATCCGGATACGTTAGGACATGTCGGGGCCTCCTACGGGCCCTTCCCGACAAAAAATTGATGAATATAACAAAAAACATAAATCCATTTCATAGTCTAAGGAAATTGTAATAATCGCTTGAGAATCGAAAACATTTATGACGACTCTCTGACGTAATTCAAAGTTCTAAAGGCTTATATGGCAAGGGGAATAAGATAACAGTAGTACTTGCGGCACACAATATTCCCACTCAACTCGTCCCCGCTAAGTCATACTCGAAAATGTTTACGTGGCACTGATGCACGCTGAGACTCCGTACTACATTATTTTACATGCAAGGCTTTTTAACAGATTTAGGATTATTCCTAATGTTTAATCATTTTAAAAGTATCAGTAATAACGCTACTCATTTAAAAAATCTATTCTCCATTTAATTTTTTTGTTTTAACGACTGTAAGAAAACTGTAACTAGGAAATGCTACTACTGCGTTTATTTTTCGCTAATCTATCTTCGTTCGGATTACTGCTATATAATATATGATATATATACGATAATGCTACTTTCTTATGACTTTCTAACAGAATATAATTTCAAACTCACTGCATTATATCCTTTTATATTTATTCCTTTTTATTTTTAATTTTTTCAACAGTTCAAAAAGGCAGAAAAACAGTTTTATATAACTAAATTCGACGTTAATGAATTGTATTTGATTTTAAGGATAGAAAACGACTAGCATGTCGCTTCACTATGTTTTATTATAGTTTCGTTCACTGCTTTTAACACGAACTTTTTAATTCTTTTCTAAAATTTGAAATAAGATTAAAAGAAATCGTAAATTAATTAAAATTTATACTTAAAACGCCACTTGTTAAATTATTAACGAGTCTAAGTTTAAGGGAATCGTTGTGTCGGTTGTCTGTTGTTTGCAACTTATAATAAAAAAATATATAATATCAAAATTTTATACGTGGTAAAATATATAAGATATTTAAACAATTTTATTATTTACAATATTTTAATAAAAATTACATGCGTCCGCGGATCCAAGAGTAGAATGACGTAACACGGGCGAAGGCTGCAGGGCGACCAGCCTGGCATCCGTCGCGGTGACCGAATGATGTGATACCGATCTAGAAAGTAATTATTTAAGCATTGTGAGAAATCTATACATTTTCCAGTAAGCATTCTAAGCATTCTATTCATTTCCGCCGCCGTTAAATGTTTTTTTGGAAACTGAGATTTATTTAATTTAATAACGGTGTTCTTATTAAATTTTTTATTTGTTAAATCTTTTGAAGTACAACAAGTTTGTACAATAAGTTTGAACGTTTTCAGTAAGGCTTTGATTATCAACTTACCAAAAGTCTTGAGTTGCCACTTCCAATAGCTAATGGACCACCAGAGTCACCACCGCATGTGCTTCTACCACCGGAGGTTTCGACACAAATGGTGGAGTCAAACACATTGCGTGGGAAGGTCCTTCTGCACACATCGTTGGTGATTACACGTAGGCTCACTTTGCTTTGGATAGCGCTCTGTGAGATACCTTGTTGTGCTGAAAAAGAGACAGAGACTGTAGTCAGATTATTTTTTTATAACGTACTTTGCGCAACTAACCAGTTAATTATTCATTGGGGTATTAGAACCTAATTATGAAGTAAGTTTTTGGAAGTAGGAGTATCATTAACCTGAACAACTTATGTCTTAGAAAATTGTACTTACAGTCAGAAGTTACACCGTATCCAGCAGCTTCGGCCCATTGGTCGACGTATTGATTGCTACCAGAAGCCAATGCAATGTTACTAATGTAATCTGGAATATTCATGGAAATGAAAACCAACATAGTATTGGCCTTATTTATATAAATATATATTGCAACACTTTTTTATAACATAAAACATACTGATTATTCAGTAATTAGATGTATTTTAAAAAAATGCCATAGTTTGCTCTAATAAAGTAATGTCTAAAAGTAAAAATTTAGTTCACTTACTGTTGTAGTTGACGTGGCTTAAAGTAATTACTGCAACATCATTCCTAACGGTCCTCGGGGTCCAATCCGGATGCATTACAACATTGCTAGTACTGACGCGGACACCGCCAGAGAACAAACGCGCTGACCCTAAGACAACAGTGAATTGACGAGCCCGGTTACTTCCATCGAACCAGCAGTGAGCTGCAGTAACAGCCTTAGTGTGGGACAGGAGAGATGATCCACATACCGAGGTCCAGCCGTTGGTTAGTGCAATGACAAGACCACCCTATTTAAAATAATATTATTATAAATATTAAGAGATAAAGTAAATAAATTATAATAAAGTAATTCGTCAATTTAAAAAGATTACCAAGTGCGGGTTGTCTCCCAAGTTTGAAGGAACACCACCAACAATTCTGGAACCATCGAAGTCGAGAGCAGCTTCAGCCTGTTTAATCCTTATTGCCTCGTGAATACCAACGTTCTCGTGGTAGTGGTAGGCGGTGGTTGTTTCTGCTGACAACTCAGCACAAGCTACGGCCAAAAGGCTTATGAGAACAACGAGGGTTTTCATCTTGACGGCTACTGTGCATGTTCGTTCTGTGACCAGACATTTATAGCAGACACAATCTTAGGATAGATATATAATATCAGATATATTTGCAATCAGAATCCTCCGTATGTGATTAATTATTAATATTTAAAAACGATTACGCACATGTTAACGATAATCATTCTTGCAGTGTATTTCATTAAAATTAAAATAATATAGAATGGACAATAGATGTTTTGGTTGCAATAAATTTGGAATTGACAGATTTACCAATAAATCGATTTACATGTAAATTACAATTTTTCTTATAATTAAATAGCGATTAAAGTCGACAAGCTGCATGACGAAAAGCATTTCTTTCAATTATGAAATACGTGTAGTGAAAGATAAGATTTCTAAACAATAAAATATGTATTTTTATCTATTTGAAACTTACACAATACTCGTATAAGACAGAATATATTGTTGCAATACTCGTCGGATACAAGTCATCTGTTGGAAATGTATGCCTTTAATTATTGAAAAAAATATTGTCGAAAGTATTTTTCTTAAATTCATCGTTATCTGTATCCTGATATATATGTATCCGATTTATTTATTTATTAGTAATAAAGCCAAAACAGATTACATAGATAAATAATAGATATGAAACAAATAACTTAAGTAAGTGCATTAATATACAAAAACATGGTGAGGTGGAAAATATCAATATCCTCATAATTAGTGTCATACTTAGATAAAACCCGAAAGATTAGCGAATTATGCAGATAATTCGTGTACGTACGAGGCGCATGGAACAATTGTGACTATCTTGTCATTATTTTTTATAACAAGACAAGTCAAGACTTAGCTCCCCCATATAGTACGGGAGGTAGCAACGTTTTCGAGAAAGAATTTTAGGTCAGCTGATTTTGTGATATGTCTTCCTTCTTGTACTTTCGGTTAGAGTCTTGGCAATCTGGCTGGCGGTAGCGGTTGCGTTCTTGAGTGCGCATCCTATCTGTCCAGGTAATATCCTGGATTTTAAAAGCATTTTAAGAAGCGTAATTTTTAATTTTTCCTTTTTAAATAAGTCTACCTGACATACTTTTTTTATTGCCAGACATTTTTCACATTGCTAACTTTTTTTTTTTTTTTTTTTTTTTTTTTTGATATCCGAGGTGGAAATGCATTTGCGCATCCCCTGAACAGGGGTATGTGGGACTCGACCCACGCCAAAATCTCTGCTATTCAGAGACTGGGTGAGCAATACCCACTAAAACCACCTCGAGTAGTTCCGACAAAGCCGCGTTACAGAGGCTCCGGGGTCGCTGTCGCATTCTACCGGGACCTCAACGGCATGTTACACTCAAAAACCTCCGGTGCAGTATACACTACATAGGAGGTAGGAGATCGGCATATCTTCTCCTATTTACTCCCCGTCTTCTACCCCTAGGATTCGTCCTAAAGCGCCCCTCTCTGTTCTGCTGTCTCCTTCTGTAGCATGACATGCTCACAGAAGGATACCACTGCATTCCATACCTCGTCACTGCCGACCATTTTTTGTACAACACAAGGCAAAGCAAGGTTACTGCCCACCACAGAACTAAGATTGTGACATTGCTAACTATGTGCCAGACGCGATTTTAAGTTTTTTTTTATAAAAATTTCAAAGTATTTTAGAATGTGTAATTTTAATATTATGTTCTTTAAATATAAGAAAAACTAAAAATGAATTTGCCAGACATAATTCGGTTGTTAAGTCTTGAATTAAAATGAAAAGTATTGCAGTATGATGAAGCGTTGCTTTAAAAGCGAATTTTTAATTTTTCCTTTTAAATAAGTTACCTGACATACTTTTTTATTGCCAGACATTTTTCACATTGCTAAATATGTGCCAGACGCGATTTTAAGTTTTTTTTTTATAAAAATTTCAAAGTATTTTAGAATGTCTGTAATTTTAATATTATTTGCTTTAAATATAAGAAAAACTAAAAATGAATTTGCCAGACATTAATTCGGTTGTTAAGTCTTGAATTAAAATGAAAAAGTATTGCAGTATGATGAAGCATTGCATTTGAGGAAGCGTTATTGTAGTTATTTATCACTTTGTATGAATAACATTTATTAAAACTTACGTAAATGTTTTTATTACCAATGAAAGGCATCATACTGCCATACTTTTCATGACTTTTTCATTTTAATTCAAGGCTTAACAATCGAATTAATGTCTGGCAAATTCATTTTTAGTTTTTCTTATATTTAAAGAACATAATATTAAAATTACAGACATTCTAAAATACTTTGAAATTTTTATAAAAAAGAAACTTAAAATCGCGTCTGGCACATATTTAGCAATGTGAAAAATGTCTGGCAATAAAAAAAGTATGTCAGGTAGACTTATTTAAAAAGGAAAAATTAAAAATTGCGCTTTTTAAAATGCAACGCTTCATCATACTGCAATACTTTTTCATTTTAATTCAAGACTTAACAACCGAATTAATGTCTGGCAAATTCATTTTTAGTTTTTCTTATATTTAAAGAACATAATATTAAAATTACAGACATTCTAAAAACTTTGAAATTTTTATAAAAAAAAAACTTAAAATCGCGTCTGGCACATAGTTAGCAATGTGAAAAATGTCTGGCAATAAAAAAAGTATGTCAGGTAGACTTATTTAAAAAGGAAAAATTAAAAATTGCGCTTCTTAAAATGCAACGCTTCATCATACTGCAATACTTTCTCATTTTAATTCAAGACTTAACAACCGAATTAATGTCTGGCAAATTCATTTTTAGTTTTTCTTATATTTAAAGAACATAATATTAAAATTACAGACATTCTAAAATACTTTGAAATTTTTATAAAAAAAACTTAAAATCGCGTCTGGCACATAGTTAGCAATGTGAAAAATGTCTGGCAATAAAAAAAGTATGTCAGGTAGACTTATTTAAAAACGAAAAATTTAAAATTACGCTTCTTAAAATGCTTTTAAAATCCAGGATTATTACCGGACAGATAGGATGCGCACTAATGAACGCAACCGCTACCGCCAGCCAGATTGCCCAGACTCTAACCGAAAGTGCAAGAAGGAAGACATATCACAAAATCAGCTGACCTAAAATTCTTTCTTTTCAAACGTTGCTACCTCCCGTACTATTAGGATAAGTGTGCGATCTTCAAGGCTGAGTTTTGAGCCACGGCTTCTTTTAATCGAATAGGACTTATTTAATTTTGATGAATTAGGGTTAATATTTCGTGTCTTTGCTATAAAGGAAACCATTTCTACATGATAATAAATAATGAACTATATAGCTGCCCTCAGATATCTGTTGATCTACGATTTCAGTGCCTTCTGTGCCTTCCACACGTCGTTAATCTTTGGGCTTAAGGATATACTTAGAGACGAGGCTATCACGTCCGTATCTATAAAACGACATATTAAATAATTTAACTCAAAGACGTGTTAACATCGTCGCAATGTGTGCTTTTGATGTACAATCAAGTGGTCAAGTGGGAATTTGTACGTAGAACGTGCATTCAAAGTTGAGTGTCGCAAACACACGGTCTTTCTATAAACTATTTATGTATAAGTATTTATCTTATTAATATTTATTTATCATGAGTATTAAGGTGATTACAACAATTGTAAACGTCATTATAATTCTTAAGTGCGCATCAACAGTTTTCAGTCGGTATTCAATAATAATAACAGATGTTTACATTTTGAGATCCCAATCAATCTTCAGTGTTATCAACGTATGTTATGTACTACTAATATTAAAATGTTTAATTATCAAATAATTTGATACACGTTGAAAATAATTGCAGTTTTTTTGTAGTGCTTGTTTGTAGAAGAACAAATAGATATCGTTATTTATGTAAAAAAGGGCATGATATTCCTTTAAACGTACATTTACCCTAAGGAGGAGGTTTACGATTCGACGCGTTTTATATGTATCCGTCTAAATAATTTTATGATGGAAGTGTTAAACGATTATATCGATACGTAAAAACTACATTCATGCGCTCCTTGCCTTGCTCCCTTTGTATATAAATATTTTAACTAACCAACACCTTACAAATACGATTCTCTTATTTTACATATACTACCAACTACTTTATTAAGTGACACTCACGTTTGTCAAAAATGGGTTTGTATTTACAGAAGTTCTACTAAGCATCTAATCTTACCTTTATAAGTAGTCGAAACGTAGGTATGGTACGTAGTTGTTTCAGAATCAGTAGTGGCAGAATCGTGTGATCTCTTTCTTATAAAAGTCGTCGTGTCATTAATTATTTTACCTATAACTTAAAATGTCTTACAGATATTTGGTTAGACAATATATGTTATGTTATGAGTTTCGGAATATTGAGTGCCTCGAAGCTAAGTGGTTTCGTAAAGGGACCCGACGCCTTGAATATATCGGTAACCAAAGACGGTAATTACGCTTTACCGATACCCTGGTCAAAATTTTAGTGATGGTTATGCGTGCTAAAATACCTTTGAGGGTATGCTTTGTTTTTCAGGATTATGAACCAGAAAAACTTACTGAATATTTTGGAGTTATATTTACAATCTCATTCCTAAAATAACACTTGTAAAACAAGATTGATTTTCCTCCTTTGATTTAAAATGTAGTTATCACAAAATGTTTATGAGATGTATTCTAATTCGCTTTTGTTTAGTATCTAGTATTTTACGTTTTGTAGCTAACTTGGACAGTTTTATTTGGCGTTAAAATAAATAACAAGACAAACTCTTAGAGTGTTGCAAAAACGCTGCGAGACACAAAAGAGATTTCCCTAAAGACTATGCATGATTTTAACGGCGACAGTACAATTTTACTGGTCATCTATATTACATTCATCATGTACATATAAAGAGTATCTAATAATATCTATAGTTTCTTTTTAATATAGTACTACTATATACGTATTTAATTACGTAATGTATAAGATTCAGATTTACACGTGAATAAATATTTTCTATTTTTTTAACAATATATTTTGCTTATAAATATCAAATTTATGTAACGAATTTAAACCTCTGCTATTTCTAGTCCGATAGCCAACCAAAGCGACCTAAACCCCGAACTCACGAAATAAACTAGAATTTCCTCGTTTACAGACATGGCACTCGACATTCGGAAATTAATAGCATTTCCTGGCTTTCCAATATCGAGAGCTACAGTTAATTTGTTATGTTAAGAAGTATTTTTATGGCTATCTTTACCCCATATGTTCAGCTATTAATGTGAGGTCTATGCACCATGCTTATTAGAATTAAAAACAGAAATATAACTATATTAATTAGTAGAACTTATATAAATTTTCATGAATAATAATGTTTAATACAAAAAATATTATATAAAATTATTTAGCATTAACCCAGTTGAAATATGAACCGCTGCCAATTGCTACAGAATAAACAGCTTACCTGGGGTATTGTCTCAAACCCGGGTCTCAGGGACCGGACAGGTTCAGGTATATTCGGCTATTTTATCCGTGTTTGCTTTTCCATGAGCTAATATTTTCATTGCAGCTCAGAATAGCAAATACGTTGAAATTTCTCTAAGAACAATGTTGTTTTAGAAATGTCTGAAGCGAGTTTAAAAACTGTTTAAATGAATTTTGGGACTGGCCTTTAAATAATCGGCAATTCGCATAATAAACGATTATATGTATATATATCTACTATGTGGCTTAGGTTGAAGTTTAAACAATCTTTACTAACATAGTATTGTCTTTTATTGACATAACTTTCACGCATTTAATAAAACAATTTTTTACCGGATTGAAGTTATGTATTTACAATTATTTTTCATAATTTTAAATTTAACATTGTAAATAATTAAATTAAATTAATATTAATAATAATTAAATTGTTAATAATTATAATTGTAAATACATAACTGCGTCTGGTAAAAAATTGTTTTATTATCAATTCTTTACTAACATTTTTGAAGTTGCACTCATAATATATTAGGTTAATAACCTAAAATCCAATCCAAGGTTGTCGAAATTAAATTCGGCCAATTATTATGATCATTCTGCTTTCATCATTGGGATGGCTATTTAGAGTTGAGTATTTTCCTTATAGTGGCATCTTCTTTCGAATCATAGCTACTTTTATTTTGGGATGCCGCGCAGTAACGCTTGTACTTGGTGCTATGACCAAACCAAACCACTATGGTTTCTTGGCTTCCGTATAATAAACCTTTTATTTTAGTTTTATTAACGTTGCATTTTTTTTTAAAGAGAAAAAAATTCACACTTTTAAATTATTTAACATTGTTTTTTATATCCTTTTAGTTCCCATGACGCAAGTGGTGGCGATAGCTGGCGAGCCGGTATACCTGCCCTGTGACATAGCTACACAAGATGAAGAGGATGCTGTACTCTTGGTGCTATGGTATAGAGAGGACTTGGGCACGCCAATATACAGGTAAAAACTACTTTTGTACTGCTTATTCAATCAGATCTTATCAAAAATCTAAGCTGATATTATTAAAATTACCTATAATTTTATCTTTTTGCTATCGAAATCCGATGGTTCCGGATGGGTTGTTTCTCATAATATGCGGGAAAAAGTAGATAAACAAATTTACCGACTTCTCTATATTCTGTCTGTAATGGAATACCCGTCAATAGAAATTATTTACCTATTATAAATATCCCATCCACAAATACGTGAATATCTCAAATTAAGCAATTTTTATGAAACTTATGAAGTTTCCTAAGGTGTCGACTAAAGGCTACATTTTACAAAGGATATAACAAATTACATGTTTATTTATTTTGAATTAATTAAAACATTTCTCATAAAATAACTTCAAATCGACGTCCGAAATTCGATTTATTTATAAGTTAAGGATTGTGACACATTCGTTACGCTATAACAATTACTTTTATATCAGCGTGGACGCCAGGGAAAAAGATTTTGGTGTAGCTGAACGGTGGTCTGATGAAAGCGTCTTTGCATCAAGAGCGTATTTCCTGCCAGAGAGACGACCAGCGGAACTTGGAGTAGACCGAGTGAAATCTTCAGACCAAGGCATCTACCGCTGTAGGGTTGACTTCAAGCAGGCTCAAACAAGAAACTCTCGCGTTAATCTAACTGTAATTGGTGAGTAGTACTTGATCGTACATCTACTGTTTTACATTTATGAATTTAAAACATATATAAACATTAGCTATAGGCTCCAACAACCAATGTGTTATCCTTAGTGCTTGGAAAGTCACCGCAGTTCGTATTAAAATACTTAAAAATAAAAAATTCAACTACAGATGTAATCATTAGACATTTATTTATAACTTAAGATAAATATTTTGTTTTATTAAAAGTTATATGATAATAAAAGTTACGTGACGAAAATACGTTAATACTAATACAATAGAAAACTAATTCATATGAATAAACTAACAACATAATATAAACAAAACGAGAAAACATAAAACCTAAACCTTTGTGTAACTAGTTATAAATAAAGCAATTCTTGTGAATTCAGCCAGTGTGCAACTAAATATATCCGTCTCACAAGTAATAGTGTTTAGGGTGCGCAAGACACGCGTAAATTTCTCTGAGTAAATTTGTACAAGCTCGAGGCACTGCAAGCAATTGCGACCGCTTACCACGCCGAGTGTGATTATTTGGCACACGCAGCTCCAGTCTCTCCAACATTTCCGCATTATATATTCGACCTCTAAGGCCCTTAAAAAATATAATGTGATAGTAAGTCAGTTCCCTTCTTACCTCTAACTTGTTGTATCCTACCATACCCAAGACAAACAAGGTTGGATACATAACTGGGTAAAATGTGTACACTCCATACAACCTATATAAGCATAGAATATGTCTTTAGTAAAACATATTCAAAAGGACCCTTTTGCTTTATTTGTTTCTTAAACGGAAACCAATTTATTTTACAAATTGATGTCGCAAATTGGAGCAATACATGTATCAAATGCGATTTAAGGTAAAAAAGCAATATAGAACTGTGTGTGTTGATGAACATTGCTTGCTGCTTATTAGTTGAAATTCACAGAAAACGTAGTAAAATTGTATGCAAATGAAAAAAAATCTATAAAAGGTATAGAAAAGAGGAAATAATACTTCTTTTCAAGGAAATTAAGCTACATAGCTGCTATTGACCCATAAAAACAAATATAAGTGTTTCACTTATTTTAATAATTCAAGTATTCAGTAGTGCAATTTATCAAGTGCATAGATATAAAATTCCATTTCACTGAAATATATGACTCGTATGTGAACCTTATGCAAATAACGACCAATTTCAGGAAAATTATAGATATTACGTCTTCATTTTGGGTCTAGTTCTACGCTTGGCTTTTACTAATATTAGAATTATTTCAAAATTATGTCCCTTTACCAATTGTTACAATTTGACAACTCTATAGACACTTAAGTGATCTGAAACCATGTTTATAATATTACATATATTAATTTAGTATTTTTATTCCACATAAGAAAGTATTTCATACATTTTTTTATTCACGCATTAGTAATATTCATATATGTACATAATTAATTTAGATTTATTCCGTTACTATAATAGAGAGAGGTTGAGTGCACATCTTGTTACTTCGTACTCGTAAAAGCAACTATGTTAGAGTACATTTTAATTTGCATACAGAAACACACACAGAGAAAGAATCACACGCCTTACCACAATACTAAATTCCCATATTTATTATTCATAATCGCAACCGACAGTTGCTTTTGCTTTATTCTTAACTTCAATCATAAAATAAAACAAATAAATTTCAATGGTGAAACTTTGCGATTCAAAAAGTAATTTTAAGTTCATGAGAACATAATATTTTTTCTATAAAACTATTAGAACTTATTTAATTTATTCTAACTCATACCTCCCTTTCTGTATTTGTGCTTTAAGAAGAAGATTTATGTGTGTCCCTTTTATAGATCATTTTTCTGTTAAGTTACCTTTAGGAAATACCTGCCAAACCAAATTCGACGTGAATAAAGGTATTCTAGTTTCTTCTAAACCCAACGGGAGACCGTAATTTGAAAGCGCGGCCTTGTGCTTGGTATATGAAATGCCCATATATTATGCAAGGTACATACATACTCGTATATTACGCAAAATCATAAAATCGATTTCAGTATTAATTTTTTTTCAAATTTGATCTATTCCGGTAAATTATAGTAGCATTTTTTAGAAACTGTAAATGAAAAATAATAGTTGACTAAAATAAAGAATACATTTTGATATAATAAAACGGTTGAATATATCATTGTTTGTTACAAAACTATGAGAAGAGACTACCATCATCTTAATCTTTGAGGCACTTGGAGTGGCGCCAAAAACCTAACTTTCAGATATAAATTACTGTTCTATGTAGACAGAAATAATTACATCATAATAGGATCCTATGTACATTTTTATTTAAGTAAAAGTATAATAGCAGTGTTGGCCTAGTGGCTTCAGCGTGCGACTCTCATACCTTAGGTTGTAGGTTCCATTCCCGGCTATGCCTCAATGGACTTTCTTTCTATGTGCCCATTTAACATTTGCTCGAACGGTGAAGGCAAACATCGTGAGGAATTCGATGTATCTTAGACCCAAAAATTCGAAGTGTGTCAGGCACTGGAGGCTGATCACAGCTAGCCTATACATTTAAAAATGATCATGAAACAGATTCAGAAATCTGAGGCCAAGATCTAAAGAGGTTGTAGCACTACTGATTTTTAATTAATTATAATTAAGTATAATAGAACAAATTTCTTTTTAATTTTTTCCTGCTTTCTAGTAGAATAATAATAAAGCCTAGTCAAATAAGCTTTCTTTGGAAGTGAGACGCTAAAAATCCCTATTTATACTAATATAAAAATCTAATTAAAAAAATAACCGATTTACTATAGTAATTATAGACCAAAAGCAAGTCGCTAAACCTATTTGCCAATAGAAAAAACACAATCGCGATTGTATATAAAAATAACGGTAAGAAATCAATGTATATATGGAATACGTCGGATGCTATAAACTGTTAAAAATCTGTCAAATTATGACCGGAAGCAATCTTCGGCTGTACCCCGTGGAATCAATATTTATGAGGGTTCCACAGGCCACGCTATAATGGAAGGGTTCCCCAGAGCATAAGTTTCGTGTATTAAGTACACACAAAGTAGGACACTTAAGATACTCTTTTAGATAGCAAGTAAATTGCCTTTTAGATATTTTTTACTTTACACAGTCTTTCCAACAATCAGTATTAATCATACCTTTACCTGGTTTTATCTACAGCATTCTGTTTGTGGTCTTAAGTCCCTTTACCCGACAATAGTTTTTATTCTAATTTATAAGGCAGATAAAGTATTAACATTTTTGTTTCTACTTAGTAAAAAACTAATGTATGTCTTATTTAGTAGTATTCGGTCCGATTAGCTAGCGATTAGGTTATAAAATGTAATTTTAAATAAATTAAATAATTGCTAGTATCGAGGTTAGATTTGTACATAACTAAGTCTTTTTTTTTCAGTGCCACCTAGTAAAATGATCATTACGGACGATAGAGGTGACGTAAAACAAGCAATAGTTGGTCCTTACGTTGAGGGTGACTCCTTCACGCTCAAGTGCGATGTCTCTGGAGGTAAATATTTACAGTTAATCAACATTTTATGCTGTTTTAGAATTTGATAAATAGGATAGAATTCCTACGTGTCTACTTTTCATCGTTTAAAATAAAAACCATTACCACAGCTTAAGTTCAACATTTTAAAATAGTAATTCCTTATTGAAGACAAGGTGTCATTAAGAGATCAAAGGTGGTGGCAAAGTGGCAAGAAGCAGGTACAAAAAGATATCGCTTTTAATTAATAAATTTCCTTTTTTTGCTTCGCTTCTTTTACTAATATTCAGACTAAAACTAGGCCTCAGACGAGCGGTAGGAATGAATGGATTATTGCATAAATATCAACGCGTCCACATCTCAATCTATAGCAGTATTTCGTTATGGAATATCTCACAACATAAAAAGGGATGGATGCCTTGGATGATGCCCATATTAAGCGAGACGCAATAATGTGCTGAAGAAAGAATTAAATAGATTAGTATATGTGGAAATGCAATTCCTAAAACACAATTAAATGGCCTACCAATGCGTATACGTTTTAAGATCAAGAGAAGTACGTTTATTTGATAAGGACAAATTAACTTTTTGTGTATATAGGTCGTCCGCGCCCATGGGTGAAATGGTTTAGAGACGAAATCGAAACCGACACTCCAGTGACCGTACTCACGGGAGGGGCGGTGCGAGGAGTGTTGAGAGTTGGACCACTTACCCGAACAGATGTAAGAGCAGCGTTCACTTGTCGGGCGTCGAACCATATACGGTCACATCCCATTGAGACAACACTTACATTGGATATGAATTGTAAGCCTTAAAAGTAATTTATTAGATAATTATGCTCGTTGTCAAATGCCTCATTCGATGTAATTAATCCTGAGGAATTCAAATTCCCAAAGCAATTATTTTGGCTTAGATCATCTATCTGAATATAAAAAGAATGCTCAACATATAACGTAAATACATACATGTACATTTTTATAGTTGTTACCTCAATTGAAAGTTTACTAAAAATCAATTAGGTACGTATAAAATGAGAAATCTAATAAAATTTATTTATATAATATAATTTTATAGCATTCCTTTGTCGTATTAACTAAATATTATTAAAAACAAATATGGTGCTATTACGTTAACGTCAAAGTATGTCTTTGACAGGGAATTCTCGCATCTCTTCAGTCTTAACTATGTGCCAACAGCACTCGCTCACTTCTTTAAAATCTTTCGACAATTTTGACCTAAATGCTGGGTTAAAATGTTTGGCTCTAGCTACATTTCCGAGTGCGAAACCTGCTTCAATATTTTGCTTAGCATATTGCAATTCTTTCTACGGATGTTAATGTTTTTCCCTTCTCAAAGCAATAACAACTTTACAGTACGTTCATAAGTATTTTCTATTTACATTTAATAAAGAGTATGGACATGGATTATAAATAAATATCATAGCAACATTTAAAGGTAGTTGGACCCCAACACTAGCAAGGAAACAGGATATAAAAAATACTTCAGTTGTTAGCTAGACCATAGAAAATAATAACGATACAAAATGCCCACAGTTCCACCACTAACAGTACACATCCTGGGATCTAACCAGCCTCTATCCGCAATACGAAGATATGACCTCCTATGCCAAAGTGCAGGATCACGACCACCGGCCTCCATCACCTGGTGGAAGAATGGACATCGCATCAACAACGCCAAGGAAACTGTAAGTTATTGCAAAAAAAAAAACAATTTATCCCAGAACATGTTCTTAGCATAACAAATGATTTTGTCGATGTTTGATACAACTAGCTCATGAATGAATGAATGAATGACTGCGTACAAAAATTGTCCATTTAAATAAATAAACACTTAAACAGAAATGTTACGTGTTGCTCAGCTTCAAATTATTAATCTAAAGAAAATATATAAATTTGCAGAAGCACGTCTTATATTTCATAAAATTTTATCAATCTGGAATAAATAGAGGTGAGCTTTTCGCGAGTCGTCTTATAATATAAAGTAAGGGCTATCTAAAATGAGCTTAATAAAATATAAAAAGGCGTTCCTTTGCGTCACAAAGAACACAGTGCTGGAACTTAAAAGCGTATTGGATAAATTAAGTATTACTGAGAATAATCTTTATGAAACATGAATTTAGAATGCGTTAGCGACTAAAATAACGTGTACATAATCGATAATTTATCAAAAAATCCATATATAAAAGTATACTTCCATACGTCAGTTACGCGACAAAGGTCACAGATTAGTCGAATACATTATGACGTAGGATGTTTTGATACTTATATATTACCGATATCCATAAGAGATAGACATATACCATCTGCGTTTGCAATGTAAGGCGAATAAATGTAATTATTTACGACACCACATGAGAAACCTCAAAAATAACAGTATTTTTCCACTATTTAATGGTTATTATTATACATATAAACCTTCCTCTTCAATCACTCTATCTATTTAAAAAAACCGCATCAAAATCCGTTGCGTAGTTTTAAAGATTTAAGCATACAAAGGGATATAGGGACAAAGAAAGCGGCTTTGTTTTATACTATGTAGTGATGAGTATGGGTAACGCTCTTCGTTCCCTTTCTATTAATAACAAAGGATGTATGAACAGATTACTATAGTCAGGGAACTATAGTCTACTGTCTACGCCGGCCAACTAGCCTATTATCAAGGCTACCGTTTATCATAAAAAAGGTATTAGTGTTAAAAAACTGTTTTGCTAGCTAGTATGTAGATAAACTCAGAAAGTCTGAGAGGTCCCTTACGATCGTTCGGGCGAGCCCCAAGCGCAAAATGTCCCATTCAATCTGCATTTATTACTTCTACGTGCCGTTCTTTTAGTGATGTTGTTCCTTATGATACTAAAGATTACTGATCCATAAATTTTTACTAAAATTAGCCTTTGAGTAAAACTTTTTAAGAGAAAAAAAATTGAAAAGTGTACTTTGATAAATCTTTTACACTTTTTAATTGAACTTGCGTACCATATATCATAATTATAATTATTTAGTACGATATATATAATACAATTTAATTACTGTCACAGTAATTGCTATATATAACAATTTTGGTAAACGCTTCCTGCATAATTAATACTGTAATGAGACGCAAGACGTTTCGATACATAATACTTGAATCAGTTCGTTATATCTATTATTAATTGTGATAGTATATATATTATCTACTCTATTATTATTATTACTCAGTTTTATTATATACTATTATAATAGACATTATTCTGTCATTTAAACATAGCGTAAACACGCTGAAAATACTGTTAATTTCATAATCCAAGTTAAGTCCGATCAAAGAGATTAATTTAAATTTTAAATATATAACTAGGGTGAGCAATCTTTTAATAGAAATGCTTGGAAATAGTAATAACGTCAATCTTGCCTTAATAAAATTTTTGTGAGTTTAGTAATTTGCCAGCAATATTTTGATTGCATTAATATCTTCTATATTTTCAATTCTTATGTCTTACTCTAAGTTTTCCTCGTCATGTTTACCGCCGCCTTAACTCCGCAGCAATAACTGTAATCACACGAAGTAATGAATCAAACGACATTTTGAACAGTTTCTACTCCGTTCTACAAATTCACAATATATGGTTAAAACTTAATCAGGCCTTTTCAGAATTAGAAAATTTGTTCTTGTAGAGTTTTGAAGATTACTACTCATGATTAGTTAGCTAAGTTCTTCTTCAATTTACCATTCTACATTAAGATACTATAGTTCAACTCTAGCCCTAGTATATTTTGTAGTTAATTGCGTTTAAAATAACAAAGCAAAATGTAACAGCAGGAAGCAACCATGTTTCAAATCGCACCTGCCAAGAGAATCATATTATTCAATATTATATTATATAAAATATAAAGGTACGCTTAGAATAAAACCCTACTTTTTTATACTTTAGAAAGTTGGGACAAATTATTTTTGCCAATAATTGGGTTTCAAATTATTTTAATACATGTGACAAGTTATCATTTTATACATCACGATATTTGTTACACGTCGACTTCAGTTACCAATTACGTTTCAATGATTGTTAATTAAATTCTTGTAATTATATTATCAAGATATTATCAAACGTGAAATTAATGTTAGTGATATAATACAATACATATTATCTAAGATCAATTTGAAAACATGAAAAAAATATTTATGAGAATTTAGAAATAAAAATTGATTAAATTAAATGGAATATGATGCAAAATGATGATATTGAATGCGTAAAAAATGGAAATAAACAAAAACAAAATAAAATAAAATTACGTAAAGTCTAAGAAACGGACAATTTAATAGTGGTCAGACAAAATTTGCTTATGCCTAAACCTGAACCCTTTTTTCTCAGTGCTCTTGCTTGTGCTCTTTATGCTTTTGCTTGTGCTCCTGCTTCTTCTTGTGTTGTGCTCCTGCTTTTGCTTGTGTTGTGCTCCTGCTGATGCCTGTGTGTTTATTTTATTTTCATATTTTATTTTCATCCTGTGACGAAACGAAGAGTTACCAAAACCAGCAGCCTTCATTTTTATTTTTGATCTTGTCCTATTTTTTGTTATGTGTCCTTTTTAAGTTACTTTTTTGTGTTTTTAAATTTGTTTTAAGTTATTGTTTTTTTTATGTTAGTTTATTAACTGTTGTGAATGCAGGCCGTGACCCTACCTTGTGATGGCACGTCGATCGCGTCCCATACATGTACATTTTGCAACAAGTCTTTCAAATCTTTGAAAGGCCTCAAAATACACATTTCTAAAACACACAGGAACTGTATTAGCCAAACCAGTTCACTTTTAGAAATCCATCCCATTATTCCGAGTGCGCCTACTTTTGCAGCCAACGCTCCAACTCCTTTTCATACATTACTTAGCCATTTGAAAAATAGTATACCCATTGTTAAAAGAATCCCTCGCGGAGCACGAATAACTGTTGCTACACATTTGTCAAAATTAATCCAGAAATGTTATATAAGCAATTGTACTCAAGACTGGCAGAACTTATTTTTATTTTCATACAGTACACTACACATAATAAAAACTGATGAACCGAATTTATCCCTGACACAAAAGATAAAGAATAACTGTGCTGTAAGTTCCTCACCTTCCCCCGCACCTCTAATTAAACATGATGTCCCTTTTAATCGCAAAAAACTCATCGAGAACAAAATTTGTGACGGAGATCTTAAAGGTGCCGCTCGTCTTTTGTTCTCCAATGACGTGCTATCGCCAGATACGCCTGACACCCTTGAGGCATTACGGACTAAACATCCCCCAGCTCCAGTAAACCCATATTTTCTCGACCCACCAACAGCAGGGCAAGCATGCCTTAAAATTCGAAACAAAGATGTAACTGATGCAATTTTATCTTTTAAACCAGGTTCGGCAGCAGGATTGGATGGAATCTCACCACAACATTTGAAAGATTTAACATCGCATTCTGTGGGTGATGCAGGCGAGCAACTTATTAACTCGATCACAAAATTAATAAATTTTATGTATTCCGGGGATGTCAATACAGAAATTGTTCCCATTCTTTTCGGCGCGAACCTCATTGCCCTCACTAAAAAGGACGGAGGGGTGAGACCAATTGCTGTTGGTTCAACACTAAGACGTCTGGCTTCCAAAATTGCTGTTCGACATATTTTACCAAAATTAAATTCAGAATTTGAACCTGTACAGTTAGGCTTCGGTGTGAAAGGAGGGTGTGAGGCAGCCGTCCATGCCCTACGCTCTTTCCTAAGTCACGGACAGCCAGACGTGTTGCTCAAAATTGATGTGAAAAATGCATTTAATTCGGTAAATAGGGATACCCTGCTGACTGAAATAAAACAACATATACCGGAAATATACAATTATCTTCTTCTCAGTTACGCTGATCCAACTAAATTGTTATATCGTTCTAATGAACTTTCCTCGGAAGTAGGTTGTCAACAGGGTGATCCCCTTGGGCCTGCAATTTTTAGTTTGGCTATAAATCCCATAATCAAAAATTTAAATTCTAATTTCAATGTTTGGTATTTGGACGACGGAACCCTAGGAGGTGATGTGGATACTGTGTTTTCGGACCTTCTTTTAATCAAAAATAAATTTGAAGCCATTGGTTTGGAGCTTAATTTTAACAAATGCGAACTTTTCATAAATAACTGCGACTTAAATTTAAATGATGTAAAAAAAAATTTCAAATTTTGGCTCCAAATATTAAAATAGTTAACAGGAATTCCCTTTACCTTTTAGGTTCTCCAATTTTTAATGAATCTATTTCTGATTATATTCATACTTCAATTACTAAATTTCAAAATTCTGCTGACCGTCTCCTTGAAATTAGTCCACATTATGCACTTTGCATCTTAAAATTCTGTCTTTTCCTCCCAAAATTTACGTATGTGCTCCGTTGCTGCTCCTTTTGGAATCACCCAGATATTTTAACACCATTAGACGACTTAATCAAAATTAGCTTAGAATCACTTCTTAATATGCAGCTGAACGAGCAATCTTGGACCCAAGCTTCCCTACCCATCCGTTATGGTGGTTTAGGGATTCGCAAAATTTCCAGTGTCGCTTTACCAGCCTTTCTATCTTCTGTCCATAGTTCAGCAAATCTCATAAGTAAAATTTTAAGGGCATCCCCTTCAAACTTTGAGATTGCTGGCTTGGAAGAAGCTAGAAATGCTTTCTTGATTGCATGCCCAGGTCAAAATTTTCTATTATCTCTAAATTCACAGAGGAGCTGGGATGACATACACTGCAAGTTGACTTTTGACGATCTTTTGAGTCGTAGTACAGGTTCGGCGCGTGCTAGGCTTTTGGCCGTGGGCACGCATGAGGCCGGCTACTGGCTTCACGCTTACCCATCGTCAAATACAGGAACTTTTCTTGAGCCTGACACGCTTCGAATCGCAACCTGTCTACGGCTTGGGGTTCCGGTCTGCGCTCCTCATATATGTCCCTGTGGCAGTGATGTCGACAAGTTAGGACATCACGGCCTGTCATGCCAAAAAAGTGCAGGCCGCTTCTCGAGACATGCCGCACTTAACGATATCATACGCCGTTCCCTTGCCACCGTCAACGTGCCAAGTCTTCTTGAGCCAAGTGGTATTGCAAGAGACGATGGCAAGAGACCGGACGGTATGAGTTTGATTCCATGGAAGATGGGTCGGGTACTGGTATGGGATGCAACCTGTTCAGACACGCTGGCCCCTTCCCATCTACATGGAACCAACTACAGAGCTGGTGCGGCTTGTGAAGCGGCTGAAAAAAAATAAAGCAGGCAAATACAGGGGTCTGGGCTCTGAATATGATTTTGTCCCATTCGGTGTCGAGACCCTTGGTCCGTGGGGTCCTAGCGCTTTAAGGCTTTTTAAAGAAATTTCAAAAAGGTTAGTCGACATCACAGGAGACCGAAGATCTGGCAGCTACCTCGGACAAAGAATTAGTCTAGCAATTCAAAGGGGGAACGCTGCCAGTATCTTCGGAACCTTGCCTAAAGGGACTCCTTTTAATGATATATTTTAGTTTATGTTAAGTTTCGTTATTTATTTCAATGTATATTATTTTATTATTATTAGTTTATGTTTATAAGTTTAATTTTATTAATATTGTTACCATTACAATATATATGTATTTGTAAAAGTTCCATACATATTATGTAAGATCAAAGGAGAAGTTTATAATTATTAATTAAAATCTGACGAATGTAAATTTGAACTTCAATAGCATTTTGTATATTGTTGTGTTCTGAAAAATATAAAACAATCATCAAAAGGGTCTGGAATTTCACATTATAAACCATAAATTGACTCGTAAATATTGGAAATTTGATCAGGAAAAATAATTAATCGTATAGTTATAAGTAAGTAAGTAATCAAATATGTACAGTATTGTCTTTTATTGACATAACTTTCACGCATTTAATAAAACAATTTTTAACCGGATTGAAGTTATGTATTTACAATTATTTTACATAATTTTAAATGTAATATGTACCTTTTAAATTCTGTGTATTACTAGTTCCAGAGACTAATTAAAAAAAAACATACTACTCTATTAAATGCAAATTATTTTAAAAAAAAATTAAAAATTCTGTTACAGAAGACAAAAAGTTAACGAACATGTTTTTTATTTCAATCATTAAACTTATTTCAGTTTCCCGTATTTAGTTGTCCACAGATGGAAATACGACAACGTCCACCGTTTCCTTGCAACTTACCAAGTCCGATGCTGGAGCAAAGTTGGCATGTCGAGCGACCAACCCTCAGATGCCTTCAGTGGCACCACTGGAGGACGACTGGATTTTGGATATTCAATGTAAGACGAAAGATACTATATTTATACAAAGTTTTACTCTTATACTCAAACATTTTAAACCATTTTATTCATTTAAACGTATCAATTACCTACTTAGTATACATTCTTAATATACTTAGAGGTCTAGAGTGAGAGTGTACAGCGAAAGACGAAAGGACGTTTCATTTGATTACGATTGGTCAAACAGAAAGAAGGCTGTCTCATATCTTTTACTGAACCAGAGATGCCAAACGCATCACAAACAAACGTAATGCGCTATCTTTTCGTATTTGGTTTTTTATTTACATTCCCCTGATACTTCTTGTATGACCTGTGTATTATTTGAATAGTAGAAGCCTTAGTTGAAAAGGGCACGTAAATAGTTTGTTAAATTGTAGTCTATATATACGTTCTTGTTCACAGATGTACCAGAAACAGTTGTTCGATTAGGAACCAATTTGGACCCAAGAAATATTCGCGAAGGGACAGATGTGTACTTCGACTGTATTATCAAGGCTCATCCTTATATATACAAAGTGGAATGGCGCCATAATGTAAGTTTTTTCTTAAACGAACGCTAGTTTTATAATAATACTAGTGGACCCCAAAAAACACAAAAAAAAAAAAAAAAAAAAACCCCCCCCCCCCCCCGGGGGAAAACAAAACACCCCCCCCCCCCCCCCCCCCAAAAAAAAAAAAAAAAAAAAAAAACCCCCTTGGGGGGGGGGGTCACAAACACACGCACACGAAATTAAGATAAAGCCGTCCTTGATCGATTATTCCACTCATAAATGTTTTATTAGTTTGACTAGCGGTTCCTGAGATAACAGCGTTCAAAAAATCAAACTCTAACCTTTAAAGTAATGTTGTTGTGTAATATACTTGAAGTTTTCATTACGTTAACTAAAATATTAAATAATTATTAATAATTTGTAGATACAAAGCTAAGATCCAAAATACGTATAAATTAAACAAACATCTTCGAAATTAGCCTAAATTTGTTCGGAGCTAATTGAAATAAAAATTAATTATTGCTTTGAAGCTTTATAAATATTTATTTTAGGCAAATTAATTTCAAATTAATATCGTTTTCATTATGTTAATATTGTCGGAAGCCGCATAATATTTTGTTCTAATATATTATATTAGTAGTATTAGTGTATTTAGGTACATAATCTTCAATATGATTTCGTTCTCTCTTTTAGTCTAGTTAGTTGTATGAAATTTATTTAATGTTAAGTAATGAAACGTCATCGATCCAAGTCATTTGCCTAGCTGTTTAATCAACTGGCTGAACATCTTGCAGGCCGTTAGTTAAATGGCGCCGTTTAGTTAAAAGCATAGGCTGTTAATTGAACGGCTAATTCAGCTAGTTGGTTGCGACATATATAACACGTATAGCATTCAATTAATTTAAATTTAATAAATGCAAATATTTTGCTTCTCGAATTATTTGTCATTTGGTCCAAGTAATTGCAATGCTCTATTTTTTAACAGGGCAAGACATTAAGTCACAACGTTGGTCAGGGTATCATCATAAGCAATCAGTCGCTAGTTCTACAAGGAGTTGGTCGCAATACAGCTGGTAACTACACCTGTGTCGGCTTCAACGCCGAGGGAGATGGCGAAAGCAAACCTCTGACTTTAGATGTATTATGTAAGTGTGTTACTAATGTACACGTTGTCTTAATGTGCGTGGAATTAGAATGTAAACGTACTATATGAAGTATTATAATCAAAAGTTTTTATGAATTTTTAAATAATTAGTTTTTGGAATTGATTTTAATTATTTAATTCGTACCTATAGCGCGATAACGCTCGCAGTTAACATTTCAAATTCAGAGATGTGACGTAACGAATCTTTTCAATTATTCATCTTTGCTCTCACTCTAACTACTAACTCTAACTACGTTCATTTCACGGGTATGAATGAAAAACGAACGACGCATCGGTTAAGTAAAGTTATCATGCCAGATACGCATCTGTCAGGTTATCTTTATATACAGACTAGCTGACCGGGCAAACGTCGTTTTGCCATACATATCATTTATAATAAAAAATAGGGGTTGATCGTAGAGGGGTGAAAGTTAGGGGTTTGTATGTATTGTTTAATGCTGTATCATAAAAAAATTAAAAACAGAAAAAATATCTAAAAATAAAAAAAAATATTTAGGGGTGGACGACCCTTAACATTTAGGGGGATGAAAAATAGATGTTGTCCGATTCTCAGACATACACAATAAACACACAAAATTTCATGAGAATCGGTCAAGCCGTTTCGGAGGAGTATGGCAACGAAAACTGTGACACGAGAATTTTATATATACAGATAGACACACGAATCAGTAATCTAATTAGGCAGAGTAAAAATTAGTTATGTAAGAACAAAGGATAATAATATGACTTCCTGAACATGAACATAAGCTACATTGTGAAGAAACGTGAATTTATAACATTATATATTTACAGACGTTTCGCATAGTTTACAGCAGTCACATTCAAGGAGCCTTACACATCAAGCATACAGATATCAGTTTCACGATAACTTAATAAAAACGTAGTTACTAAGTAGTTTTAATTAAGTTTGTATGTGGATCCTAGTGACAATATCGAAAGCCCACAGTATTTATTCTAGTACTGATAGCGGCGTATTAACTATATATTCTTAATACAGATGCTCCAACCTGCCGAAGCTCCCAACAGAGAGTACACGGGGTGGCAAAACAAGAGAGGGCTCATATCACATGTCACGTAGACTCCAACCCGCCTGAAGTTAGTGTAAGTTGCCAATTACTCTGAAACGTCTGTTCAGTGTTCGGCAAATGTAAGACGTTGCGACTCTCATTTATTAGTAACCTGTTTTCTTATAAATTCATTTTGGGGATTTCAATGTTTTAGACAATACCAAGTACGTTACATTAATTTTTGTATAAATAAATACTTTTACGAATAGGTCCATTATCATAGGCATCCTAGTGCTAAATAAATTAAAACGTCACCCTAAATTGTATGTATATTATAAGGACAACAATACAAACTGCAAATATCTTAAGTTGGTAAGTAATTAAAGAGTTTCTAAAGAACTGCATTGTGTAACACGTAGACGAAATTTTTATTGATTTTTATGTTTATTTTTTTGCGAAGTTTTATAATTGTGTACTGGGATTGAATAGTATTTAAATCAGAATTTTTATAAGGACTATTAGACTAGATATTCGTACACAATAAAAAATATATCCATTAAACTTGAAAAATAAAATAGATTATTTGGTAAAAGAACATAAAATTCCTTCCACTTAAAAACTAAAATCACATTAGATAAATTTCGAAAACATAGGAAAATGGGACCTGCGCCTGGACCTTCTTATCTTATTTTTGACGATGCGAGATATATTTTTAATGCTTGTTTCAGTTCCGATGGACATTCAACAACACAGCGAATAGCAACGAAGTGAGCGACTCTTATATATCGAGAACGGGAACTGTTTCTACAGTCACGTACACGCCACATACTGAAATGGATTATGGAACCCTATTGTGCTGGGCCCACAATAGAATTGGCAAACAGAGGGTGCCGTGCGTGTATCACATCATTGCCGCTGGTATGTTGAATTGTTTGTGTTCGTCAGATAATTGTAGCTCATTATACCCTGTTAACGAGAGGTTTAACAAAATAAACAGATGTCAGAAATAATATTTCTCATCGCGTAGATTTTGGAATTTATCAATTATTCGTATATTATCATATCGATGTATGAATAGTGTTTCTACAATCACTAAACAGATTTCATACATCGTAAGTTAGTAGTACCAGCCTTGCGATTCTGTAACTCACTTTTCGAACTCACACAGCGGTTTTCGTATCGGGGGTCGCTCTCAAATCAGTCGTGAAGCAGTCATTTATGATTTGGCATTCTGAAAAGGTGGGAGCTTGTAGTTTATTGTTTATCAGAATGCCAAATAAACAATAAACTACAAGCTCCCACCTTTTCAGAATGCCAAATCATCTGATAAACAATAAACTACAAGCTCCCACCTTTTCAGAATGCCAAATCATAAATGACTGCTTCACGACTGATTTGAGAGCGACCCCCGATACGAAAACCGGTGTGTGAGTTCGAAAAGTGAGTTACAGAATCGCAGGGCTGTAGTTTAATAATTGTGAACTTTAAATCGTGATGTCTATATGTGTATATATAATATAATATATACAACCCTATAAGCCTCTAGCAAAACAAACATATGATCATTATAAGTAAGTATGTGTGTTATAAATTAATGTGTAAAGTCTATCTATAACTTCGACGAAGACAATATTAAAATAAATACAGTCAATATTTTCTTACAGGCCGTCCAGATCAAGTCCATAACTGTTCAGTGGTAAATGCATCTCTGACTTCATTTGGAGTACGGTGCTCAGAAGGCTTTAATGGAGGAATAGCACAATCATTTTTTCTAGAAGTCAAAGAATTAGTGACTCAGGTATAATAATAATAATAGTAGCCTTTTATTCCTAAACGTAGGGTTACAAGAGATCCCTAAGTTCGGTGTGCCTTTTGGCATAGGCCTCCTCCAATTCCTTCCAGTGGATCCTGTCCTTTGCTACTCTCAACCAGAATGGTCCCGCTGCCAGTTTCAAGTCATCTTCCTATCTCCTGACTTGACGACCCCTACCTCTTTTGCCGTCTCTTGGTTGCCAGAGAGTGACTTGCTTGCTCCATTTGTTTATTAAGTAGATAGGGTGGCGTAGCAAATGTCCAGCCCATCTCCATTTTTGGACGTCTATCCGCGTAAGAATGTCTATGAGTTTTGTTCTTGTTCTCATGCCTACGTTCCTGACTCTGTCTTTGATTTTTAAACCCAGCATACTTCTTTCCATGGCACGTTAGCATTTTGTTAGCCTTTCCCTGTGGTGAAGTGTTATTGACCAAGTTTCGCAGCCATAAGTAAGAACTGGTAAAATACAGGTCTCGAATGTTTTCTTTTTTTATGTGATTGCCTAGACCCTTACTCAGGTATAAATAAAAATAAAAAGCCTTTTTATTTCTTGCAAAAGAACAGAGTTAACTTAATACTATTTTTACAAATATATTTTAAGAAAGTAAATTAGACAATTATTATTATTATTATTTTTTCCTAATATTTGTATATATTTCTCAATTATTATTTTGCAAGAACCCTTCCGCAGGTGTAGGCCTCCTCCAGGGATCTCCATGTATCTCGATTTTGGGTGAGCTGCATCCAGCTCGGGCCAGCCGTTTGAGCAATGTCGTCCGCCCATCTCGTGAGCGGTCTTCCTCTGTTTCGTTTCCCAATAGGGCCACCCCACCTGGTCACCCTTATGGTCCATCGATCGTCAGAGAGTCTTGCTACATGACCTGCCCATCTCCATTTAAGCTTTAAAGCATAGTTTAGGGCATCAGTAGCTTTAGTAACGCTTCTTATTTTTGAGTGTCTTATTTTATTAATTTTTCTAATGTTAAGCATGCTCCGTTCTAGGCCCCTTTGACAAGTTCTGATTTTTCTTTTTATCTTCTCTGTATATTTCCAAGTCTGGCAAGCATATGTTAGACATGGCAAGAGACAGCTCGACATGGCTTTGGTTTTAAGTGATACTGGCATATTGCTTTTAAAAATTTCCTTTAGACTCCAGAACTTGTTCCAAGTGTGTTGAATTCGCCTTTCAATTTCTAAATAGTTGTTGTCCTTTTCAAAGCTGATTTGTTTTCCTAGGTAAACATAATTGTTTGTATATTTCAGAATTTCTCTATCGACCGATACTGTCATTTCTATACTGTTTGTCATTAACATTGTCTTTGTGAGGTTCATCTCTAGACCTACCTTCTTGCTAGCCGCATTTAATGATTGAATCATGACTTGTAATTGTGAGCTTGATTCGGATACAAGCACTAAGTCATCAGCAAAGCGCAGGTGACTCAGGTATTTTCCGTTAATATTAAGGCCGCTTGTGCCCCAGTCTAGATTTCTTATTATCGACTCGAGGATGGCAATAAACAGCATAGGTGATGTCGGGTCGCCTTGTCTCACACCTCTTTTTATGGGAAAGCTTGGGCCGACTTTCTCTAGTTTGACTCTGCCCGTGTTGTTACTATATATACTCTTTAATATTTGTATATACTCCGTCGCTACCCCTTGCTCCGTTAGTGCTTTCCAGATGCTTGCATGTGAGACGGTGTCGAATGCTTTTTTGTAGTCAATGTAAGCGATATAAAGTGCTCGGTGTCTCTCTTGGTATTTTTCAATGAGAAGTTCCAGAGTGTGGATGTGGTCAACAGTTGAGAAACTCTTTCTGAATCCCGCTTGCTCCATTGGTTGTTCTGCATCTAGTATGATACTTATTCTTCGGTTTATAAGAGATGAGAATAGTTTGTATAAGCACGGTAGTAAGCTTATTGGTCTATAATTAGCAACATCACATGGGTCGCCCTTTTTATAAATCAGTATTATATCTGACTCTGACCATTGTGTCGGTGTTTTAGCATTTTCCAAAATACGGTTGAACAATTGAGTTAGCGGTACTGCCAGTAATGACTGCACTGATTTTATAGACTCGTTTGTGATGTGGTCTGAGCCAGGACTTTTGTTTGTTTTTAGTCTATTAATTGCTTGCATAACTTCTGGTACGGTGAATTCTATACATCGAGTTGAGATTAGGTCGGACTGTAGTATATTATGGTCAGTGGCATTTTCGCACAAATCTACGCTGTAGAGTGTTTTATAGAAGTTAGTTGCTATTCCTATGATATCGTTGCGATTGCTTAGGATTGTTCCTTTACTTTTTAAACCGTCTATCCATGTTTTGTTTGTCCTCAACTGTTTGTATGCTTTTTTTGAGCTTCCTGATCGCCTTAGATGTTTTTCCAGCGCTTCCGATCTATACTTTGTATAGTCGCTTTTTATACGCCTGCTTACTAGCTTGTATAACGCTGAAAGTTCGTTTTTCATAGACCAAGACTTATTCTTGGTATTTTGCAGAAGCTTTCTTCTCTTCAAAAGTGCTAAAGTACGCTGTGATAAAATCGTATGTCTTGTGTCTTTATTACTTATTCTAGCTTCTTGGAGGCTGTGTGTGATTGCTCTTAGTATGTTGTCGTGTAAATTTTGTACCGATAAACTATTTTCTTCTAGTATGTTTGGTAGATGGGCTGTGATGCATTCCTTATATTTGTTTATTTCTTCTTCGCTTTGTAGGGTGGCATTAGGAGTGCTTTTAAATCTAGTCCGGTTCTTTTTTATTTTTGACAATGTTATTGTTGCTCTTACTGGTCTATGGTCCGACGAAAAATTGAGATTCAAAACATCCATGTTGTGTACAATGCTAGGTCTGTTTGATAGAATATAATCTATTTCGTTTTTGTACTCTCCGTTAGGTGAGCGCCATGTCCATCTACGTTCCGGTTTTTTCTTGAAGAACGTATTTAGGATCGCAAGTTTATTTTCGACGGCGAAGTCAATGAGTCTTTGTCCTCTTAAGTTCCTTTTGCCATAACCATGTGATTTCATTATCATATACTCGTCTGCCCTAGGTTGGCCTATTTTTGCATTTAGGTCGCCCATAACTATATATGTATTATGTGCAAGATCCAAGGCTCGATACAAGTTTGCATAAAACGCTTCGAGCTCGTCTTCTTTGCTGCTTCTGTGGGGGCGTACACTTGTATAAACGAGATTTTGGTGCCCTGCATATTCATGTTTAGTAGTGCTACTCTGTCAGAAATTCCAGTGAAGCTTTCAATGTTTTTTCTCTGGTGTAGGTTTATTAAAAAGCCGACTCCATATTGACCTTGCGTGAATCCTGCACAACAGAGTATACAATTATTATATTCTTCAATTTTTGTTCCTAGACGTCGAGTTTCCGATAAACCAATTATATCGTAATTTATATTTTTGAGTGCCTCTGTTAATTCTAAGAGTCGCCCATAAGATGACAGGGTTCTGACATTGTATGTCAGTATGTAGAGGTTGTTTGTTGCTCTTACAATATAGTTACGTTTTTGAACACTTTTGCTTGCATTGTGCGTACAGATAATTTGAGAGTGGAGTGGAGGGTTGTGGTCTGGCTCTCCCGCGGGGACCAGCCGTGGTGGGAGAGGTGGAGGGGGCGCTGGTAGTTGTTATTTAGCGATGTTTGTAGATGTTGTAGCTTCATCTAAAGCGGGGCGTTTTGAATTTATTGCTTTTGTCAGGTAGTTATCGATATGGTTGTTTTTATTTATTATTTTCGCGACTTTTCGAAGTTTATTGGTGTCGCGGTTGGCTTCTATCGGCTTTGGTGACGACGACTGGTTTCTCTTCTTTTTTTCTGGTCTTGACCTTTCAGTGTCAGTACTTTTATTCTTTAAGAAAATAATTTTATCGTACTTTAGAATCGCTAGTCTTCCTTTTTCTCGTTCAGTATTAACAACTATTTGCAATTCCTTGCGTTTGTTAAGAATTTCTAAAGGAAAATCTTCTTTAACATAGTACGGTGTTGATTCAAATTTTTTCTTTTGTTTAAGGATGTTTATTTTTAACCCCATCGTTGCTAGTGTGATAACTATGGGTCTGGTATTCTCTCCCTTTTTTCCTAGTCTTCTCATGTATTCAATGCTGTTTTTGTCGAATTTTATACCTAAACATTTATCGAAAATGTCCACAACGCTTTTTTCTAAGTCCCAGTAGCTTTGTTCATTTTCCTCTACTCCAAAAATAAGCAGGTTTTTTCGACGCGAGTTTCTCTCTAGTGTGTTTATTTTACTTGTTTGGATTTCGAGTTTTTCTTCTAATATTTTGTTTTGGTTTTCCAGCTCTCTAAACTTTTCATTTATGCTTCTATTAATTGTCTCTTTAATATCTTCCTTCATATCCTGCATGTCGCGTTTTTGTTGGTTTATTGCCTCCTGCATTGATTTTAATATACTTTTAATTTCCTCCATTGTACCCGTTCTTTTACTCAGAATGGAATAGAATATAAAACAAAATAAAAAAATATAAAATAAAAGATACACTATAAATTGAACAAGAATAAGTAACTAGATTTGATCTTTGATCCGTTGATAAAGCGTCGTCGTCGTACTGAGGCGGCCAGCTACAGGTTTGACGAAGTGGTTGAATTTCTTCTATATATATTTTGGTTTGGTAGTGACATTTAATGTGATAACTAATAATTATAAATGTTATCAGTCACGTATGCACTTTCACTGTGAAATATATTAATTAACGTTCCACTCCACAATAGATAGTAGCTTTTGACTCCTTTTTTCCACTTCCAACATCACATGTCATTAAAAATGTTAATATTTGCAGGTCGGTCCGTGCTGAGTCACTTTTTCAATGCGTCGCAGATAATTTTGTTATTTCAAGCATTTGTTCGAAGTTTCTGCATTGAACAATTTTTTAAATCTTTAGTTTGTATCGAATTTGTGACTTTTGAAGTATATTTGCACTATATTTTTCACTGGATATATTTTTAATAACAACGGCAAGACGGAGCTTGTGTTTACAGTTGGTGCACGCACTACCCTCCCCTTAGTAATCCAAATCCACTCAGGTATAACCTACTCTTATTCTAGCATACTCCTGAGTCCTGAAAGACATTGATTTTGAATGAATGCCTAATATTCTAAAAAAAAGTGTGTGTACTTATGTACACGCGTTAGAAGTTATACTTCTTTGGCGTTAAAAGATAAAAATCTTTTCAAAAAATTTATTGTTGTATGTTGACTATAACTAACTTCGGAGTGTCGATTTTTTGTGACGGTTTGCGCGCGCATCGTAAAAATTTACTCTCATAATTTTTCCCTAACGCGCCAAAAGAAGTATAAAGTCAAAAACAGAAATTTAACTGAAAATTACAGCAAAACATATATGTGTGTCGGAGTGCCACAATATAGACGGTACATGTCTTGTATTTCACAGGAGCTGGTAGCCAACGTGTCAAGCGCAGTGCCACGATTCACAGCCATCGGCTTAGTACCAGGACGAACATATGGAGTGGCAGTCATTCCGTACAACAGCAAGGGGCGAGGCGAGCCCTATCCCATGCGAGCAAGTACTCTTAGGCCGCCTGAAAAGCATCATGTACATGATAAAAGTTTGGGTGGGTTATGTTTTCTCTCATTATATAGCTTCTTTTTCATTTAATACCCTAGACTCTACCAAACGTTGAGTCTATATTAGTTGTTTCATAATGACTTTATTATTTTTTTGTTATAATCGTCACGTCTTACTAATCGTCATCATTACTAATTGTAGTTGCACTTATGGTACCACCGTTTGATTGTAAAATCCTTTAAAACATATACAGAATGGAATCTCGCTAATAGGTATCTCATAGCCCCTCCTCGTTAATCCTTAAATTTACTTTGTTTTAAGTAACACTAGTCTATAATAAAAAGTAAAACTTAGTATCATGTGCGTTTCTTCTAGATTTGCCGCGAACAGCATTTCACATGTCCGGTGCAATGTCTGCAGCAGTTGGTGGTGGTGGTGTTATTATGGTGATCCTTGTTCTGTTCCTAATTGGGGTGAGGCAGAGATGCTTTAAAAGAAAGCCCAGCCCTGGTCCACTACCTTCTTCTCTACCTGGTTCTCCTGACAAGTTGAGAGAAAAAGATGACAGTGAGAGCGATGATAGAAACCCAGATATAATACCATCGGAAATGGATCATTTGCAAGTGAGCAACAAAAAAAATATATATATATTTATTGGATTTACAGTTATAGTACAGCAACAACGTTGTTTAAACTAAAATATCTCTTTCAAGCAGGTAGACTACTACAGAACGCAGCAGGTGTCAACGATATCGCCACCACTGGGATCTAGGATGCCAAGGGGTAGTGTGGCTGGAGTACGCGGAAGTATACCCGCATACTATGCGCTAAGAACTGCTCCACCGCCCCATCAGACCATGATTGATAATGGGGTAAGATAAGACAGGTATCCCAATGCCAGTTGTGCCTTTACAAAACAAACGGTGCAACACAGCTACGAAATTTAATTCTCGATTTAATTAAGCAGCTTGATTCAAAGGTAGTGAAAGATTTAACTTTGATATGCTGGCCTGATCTTCTCTCGTTGCATTAACTAACTGTTAAGTGTTAACTCTTAATTAAATACTCAATACGACAGTGTTGATTAGATTTAGATTAAATAGGCTGAGCCCTAGCTGACTGCGTCGATAATGAGTCTGCCAGGGCACATAATCACATTATCTGGAGAAAACGCAATTTAATTTTGATAATTTATCCTCTATGATTTTTTTAAGCGTGAACATCTCGAGCTTGAAATGCAGTCAATGATTTTAAGGGAATTCTAATAAATGATAGCATGTTGTGTGATCCATTATTACAGACACAACAAGGCATTCCTCCACCAGCAGCATTCGGCAGTGGATCCTGTACATTGCCACGCGGGTCTAGTACAGGTTTAACAAGTATTGCTCCGGGTGAACGATGTATACCATTACAGCACCTACGCACACTACCAAGGCCCATGGCCGCTCCAACCGCGTTACCTAGACATCTCCCTCGCGACACCCCTCTCTGACAGACCACACAACTGTAGATGTAAATATGGACTACGGTTTTAAACTGTATCGATTTTCGATTATATGATGGATGTTAAATGTTTTTGTAAAAATGCTTGAAAGTTTATGAACAAAAGACTGCCACGCCAGAGTGAAGGCATGTACGCAAATTCAATTAATCCTATAACCAATATAGAACATTTTTAAACCCGTTTTAGTCAAAATACGATTTGACTAAAACAAGACTTCTTGAAGAAGTTCAGAAAAGTTTTAAACGGAAAGATTTAAACACACATAATAAGTAAAGAAAAATACTTAAAACGACAATTGAATTTTCCAATAATAACTGTTCCTAGCTGGGTAATATTTGATGTCTTTTGTCACTTGTCACTTATACTTTTTTTTTTTTTTTATAGAACGGGGGGCAAACGGGCAGGAGGCTCACCTGATGTTAAGTGATACCGCCGCCCATGGACACTCTCAATGCCAGAGGGCTCGCGAGTGCGTTGCCGGCAAAACTTATAGATGCCTTCAGAATTTGTGCTTCATAGTAGTATGAGGTCCGATCTCTTTGGTCTATTTTAAAAATTTACCATTAAATTCTGCCACAAATATATGTAGGTGATACGAAGTACACCAGGTCATCTAGTAATAAATAAATAACTAGTTATTGAATTAAACAATTGTATGCACCACACATGTTTAGGTAATACTAAATAAAATTCAGTTTAAAATAAATATTACTACTATGAATTTGTATGAAATTATATTCTACAGAACATTCCTTTACTCTGGCCAAACTTCTACTCATACGAAACAAAAGTTATAGGCGGATGATTATGTTAATTAAATTAAAACCGAAACTGAATTTCTACTTAAACTAACCAAATAGTTAGGATCAACTAAAAATTTAACTCATTTGTAAATGTTAATGTAAATATACTAGCATTAAAATTCTTATACGTAATTTTCGTTATTTTTTTTATTAAAACGGTTGTGAATTTCTAAAGTATTATGACATACCGAAATTATTGTATTTGTTAATTCAGCTGTGGATACATTGAGCGTGATTAGTAAGAGTACCTACTTTTGGCTGTACTAATATTTTTGTTCGGGTTTAGACAATGAAAATGTTCGATTATTGTACGATATCAATATAATTATATTATTCACACTAACTTAAGCCTTACGTATTACAATACGAAGTCCTCCACCGGGTCTGATTGTCTGTACACGACAAGCGCAAAAACTGTTGAAATTGTGTTTGTACGGTTTTTACTAATAGATAGTGCTGATCTTGCGCAAGGTAATAATTTGCTATGATTTTATGTAAATTAACAGAAACATAATGAATATTATTGAAGCCAAAAGTCTTACAAATACACGCGGGCAAAGATAAACTCTTTTCTCAGCCGCGGAACGTATTACTTGTGCTCAGTGTATCCCGGACATTATTAGTATATAAGTAGTAATAAAAAAAATTACTTTTGCTTTATAATATAGTGATGTACAGAACAATATAATTATAACCATAGGTTATCAATTGTGATAATAAGGTAATTATTATCGAAAGTATTCTAAAAATACCACAATTAGTATATATTTTAAGAATATAAGACATATAAAAGTTAGATAGCAGCAGTTAAGACAAAAATTAAAAAATCACGGTTTTCCCATAACGCCCCATTAACGCTCCTATGCCTTTTTTGCAACGGAAGCCGAAGAGTATAGAAACGTTAAAAATCTATAGACGTGTGAACTTGAAAATAAAGTGCTAAGTCTAACACGTTTTACAAAAATTTCTATAGTATTGTCAAGAAAGTAAAGATGAGCCACTCATGTAACTGTTTTTATATGATTCATGATATTACTTATCCTTAATATTTTCCCTTAAATATCTGTGAACCTTGCATATTACGTGAGAAGCCTCAAACTAAATTTAAGCTAAGACAGCCTGCGTCGAAACGGAGCGACGCAACGGTGTACTTCAAAATACTATTACTGTGTAAACCAACCACCGTGCAAACAAAACTGACGCGCTATGTCACGCATTTTATTAGGAGCACTGTTTGCATGTTATAATTAATATGTTTTCTATTAAACTGTCGTATTAACGTAAGAATTATACAACTAATTTAAACTGTAACATAATTAAAATTTTAAATACGACAATATTTGCGGCGAACTTGCTCACATGCATAAACCGACCGGAGAAAACATTAAAAATAATTAAAATTTATTTAAAAAAAACATTTGTTTCGGAAATAAACATCTATACATAAAGAGAGTAGAGTAGAGGTCGAAATTCTAACTGAGGCGACTATTATGTTGTAAAATCTGTTTACACTTACTTAGAACTTAGACTTTGAAACTTCATAAAAAGTAAAGAAAATTGATAATCGAAATAAAAATTGGATTAACTTTATTAATGATAAACTCATAGCTAGATGGCACATTAACATTAACTGTGATTTTGATACTAATTGAAATAGCAACAAGTTACGAAGATGCGGCATCAGCCTTGCGATTCTGTAACTCACTTTTCGAACTCACACAGCGGTTTTCGTAGCGGCGGTCGCGCTCAAATCAATCGTGCTGCTAAAACCGCTGTGTGAGTTCGAAAAGTGAGTTACAGAATAGCAAGGCAGTGCTCCGGATATTTAGAATAAAATTCCGCATTAATACGTCGGCATGGATTCCGCTTTTAGGCGATACGTAGTAGGTACCAGCGCTGAAATGGAAATGTTTGACGCTCGCGCGTATCACACAATACTTGATAAAATAAATATTTTTCGGTATTCTTGTTAATTGTGGTATTTCTAGAAATAAAATATATATAATGATATCAATTTGTCCGTTATGGAAGACTTTGTTTATACAACGTTATGTAATAAAAATTTTGTATAATTAGTTAATCTACGTAATTAAATAAAATACCTACCAAGTTATGGTTGAAACGTTTTTAAAAATTTTACTTAAATAATAATTATTAGTGTTAATTAGATGAAATATACTTTAAAGATATGTTTTCAGTTTAGTTTTTTCGATATAAAATTTCGTCCAGACTTAACCTCCCTAACTTAAACCACAGAGTTTAAATAGATATAAAATTGTTTGTTTAAATGTCCCACTATCCTTGAAATATTATCAAGGTTGTCATTATAATACGAACTGCCGGAAGGTGAGAATATAAAACTTCAAACAAAACGACGCATTTGCAATTATCACGTGTTATAGTCTAGTCCAAACTAGCAAACGAAACTCACCAACTTTGACTTAATTTTACATTACTCGTGCCTCATGCTTCATGTTTTAAATTTACCAGAGAATTCGTTTAAGAATGAGACAGAGATTCGGTGTCTTAGGGATGAAATCAAGGTAATTTTGGTCACTAGTTGGGTTTTATTACATACTCAGAAGACATTATAAAACTAACTTACCATTAAGAATACAGCTACCCCTTTGAGGCTGTAAAATTTAAAATTTAGAGTTTGAATTAATGTAACCATATTTTATATTGATTTTGTATTTATAGATATTAAATATCTAATTTCTAACCTCTCTCACAATGGCCAATAATTTTTAATGAATTTTCAATTTTAAATTGTTGGATATTGTGAAAAGGTCATTAGTTTTAAATGTTTTTTCTATATGCCTAAGCGTTTTGTTAACAATATGTAAATAGTTTGACTGTCAAAAATGTTTCTGATAAAATGTGAAATGAAAATAAACGAAAAATATTCAAAAATGTTAATTTGTATGTTTCATTCTCTACATTTCCATATTTATTTATTATTATTATACCTATTTCAATATATTCGAATAATGATGGCTTGTTACAAGTATTATTAAATACTTATTATGTTAACCCGGCCGGGGGGGGGGGGGGGGGGGGGGGGGGGGGGGGGGGGGGGGGGGGGGGGGGGGGGGGGGGGGGGGGGGGGGGGCCCGGCCCCCCCCCCCCCCCCCCCCCCCGCCCCGCCGCTGGCCCCCCCCCCCCCCGCGGCGGGGGCCCCCCCCGGGGCCGCCGGGGGACCCCCCCGGCGGCGGGCGCGGGCCCCCGGGGGGCGGGGGGGGGAGGGGTTTTTGCAAATCCCCCCGCCGCGGAAATTCCCCTTGCCAGGCTGTTAAGCAACAATAGAAAAGTTCAATAATTATCAAGATAAATTTCCTTTTATTGTCAAAAGGTGTTTGATAAACTCATTACATACACAAAGGTATAACACATGCCGGCAATACAATGCCAAACTGCAAGTAATTCAGATTATAACAACATTTCACAATAAACCGCTAAAGTTATGATCCTTTCCGAGTAGTGCGGTTACAATAACATATGAAGCTTATATAATCTTGTTAAAGATAACACCCAAAGTCGATGAGAATATTTGGAATACAGCGCTTAAAAGGTAGGAACTAAAACTCATGTAATCCTTTCAAGCATTCACTGGGCAATGCTGGCATTTACCGATATATCCCTGCCGCAAACCCACATTTAAGCCGAGATAATCGTTTTTTGTTCCACATTCCTTAAACTTATCCGGGATAAGTCGTATTGGAGGATTTTCACTGTTCAAACCAGAAGTTTTCTATTTTGAGGCAACGCGGGTTAGTTTTTTTTTTCAAGAAATGAACAGCTCCAGATAATTCTCGTATTATTACATAGAAAAACAAGCAGGCACCGCCTTACGTGCGAGTCAATATAAATTATAATAATATGGTACATAAACCTCTCTAAATTCTCGTTATATTTTTATTTATTTCACTTAATCTTTATATCAGAATGTTATGACTTTTGTACGTGCAATTTTTGCCGAATTTTCGTAGCGTACTCTGGCAATGGCCGGATCTTCTCCAAATCTCCAAGGAGGGAATATTCTCAGTAAATTTACGAGGGAATATTGCGAGAAGGAAAATCTGGTCGTCTTTGAATCCGTAATAGAAGGAATCGGTTTACAGTTCAGGAAGGTTCTTGAAGCAGCTTCAAATGTATTTATGAGTACCTATTTATATTCACCATTTT